TATTTATAATATCTTAAATTTATCATATAATATTTTTTTAAAAATAGAAAAAGGAAAAAAATAAATAATAAATAATAAAAATAAAGAAAAAATAACAAAAAATAAATAAATAAATAAAAACAGAAAAATAATTATATATTATTATAGAAATTTATGATCATTTGTTTAATTTTGTTTATAAACAGTGTTAAGTAAATAAATTCAAAAATATTCTATTTAGATAATTTTTCTTATTATTTATAAGAATGATTCAATATTTTAAATATATAATTCACATTAACTCAATTAAACTTAAAGTTATTTCTATTAAATTAAAATATTCAAAAGTAAGTCTACAAATTGTGACCTAAATTTTTCAGGTCTTAAATAGATTGTTATTTGCTTTTTGTGTGGTGAATGGGCTATACTTTTTTGGGTTTAAGTCAACAATGCTGGAACTTGAGGCATTGCTATTAGTACCTCCCAAATGTCTATTTTGATCTCTGATGTAATGCGATTAAAAATTGTGACGAGAAAACCCGCATTTACTTCATAGAAATTGAGAGAAAAAACCGAACAATTGCTTGTTTTATGAGATATCACAATTGAAAGATAGCTATTAAATAGTTACTTTTTTTAATTACTGATTCATAATTATTGGTAAACAGGCATATTGAAAGGTAAATTAGAAAACAAAATCGTATACATTAAATAGTGATATTCCTACTATATATTACTCTACTTTATATTTATATTATTAGTGGAAACATATATGTTAAGTTTCTATATTTTTTATAATTAATTTTTAAAAACATTATTTTAATTATTTTCCTTTTTATATTTAATATATTTTTATAATCTTTAAAATATATAAATTATATTAACTATTTTTTAAAATTATAATATTTTTATTTTTATCTCTTATGATTTAAAAAAATATATCTTTTATATAGAGTTTAAATTATATTATAGATTGGCTGAGATCCACGCTGGAAATAAACTTTTATTCTTCGTTTTTTAAAGAATTATCAGAACAGAAAAAAAATTCCATATTTAATTTTAAAAAAAAAACATGTTTTTATTGCAATTTAAAAAAAAATAATAAACTTTCTTTGAAAATAAGCTTCCACTATTAGTTTATATATAAATGTTACTTTTTAAAAAAAATGTATTTTAATGGTAATCAAATTAACTTTGATAACAATTACATTTTAATGAAATCTTAATTACAGTGTGCTTTATCCTTATTATTAATAGTAAACGAGTTAGTTAACATATATTACCTATTTTATTGGTAACCAGATAATAACATATTGGTTAACTTTAATAATATCACATTTATTTTAAGGGATTTCACTAATTATGTATCAGTCAACGTAATTTTGAATTTTGAAAAATATTTGATTACGAATCAATTAAGGTAACAAAAATAAGCTGATATAATTCGATTACCTACCCGATAGTATCATAATCGAAATGGATAAAAAATGCTATCTTGTTATTAATTTGATTAATCATCTCATAATCGTTATACTTCAAAAACAACTTTAAATAGTAACTATTTAAAAAAATTGTTAATAAATTTATTTACACACAAAAAAAAGTTTCCGTTTTTTACTTTAACTGAGCAAAAAACTATTAATTTCATTTGGAAAAACCAAAACATCACAAAATTTTATTTTGTTTGTGTTAATTTTTTCTCAAAAACAAAAAAAAATTACATAATTCCTTGGAGGGCCTAAGGTAAGAATCTTTTTGTCAAAAACCAAATCTGGGAAAAAGTGAAGGTGTAAATAATGACGTGGGGTGCTGATAGCAATGCCCCAAATTGACTCGATTGGGTCACCCATCTCGTATATTCATTCAGCCCAATGTTTCTTTCCACTTACACCAAACTTGCGAATGTTTTTTATGAATAATGTACACATAAATGTTTTCAATGTAAACTTTGTTGTCTAGGATATGAGTTTGGATTTACCTTCTAAAAGAAAAAATATTTTTGATATTATTTATAGAATAAAGACATAAAAATTCAAATTTAGAATGTTGTGTAAAGTACGTAAACTACCCTAGTCTCTCCATTTATGGGCAACTCTAATTAATGGTATTCCAATTTTGATCCAAGCAGTTGCATGGTCAAAAGTCAAAACCGTGGTGTTTTTGTGATAGAGACTTCAAGAGTAGTCTCTCTTGCTTTGTATTTTATGTCATTTTAAGAGTTAATAGTGATGTAATTCGTGTTTAGTTTTGTTTTTCTCTCATGTTAAGAATTTACCGTCACACAAATAAATCTTTAAGATTAGTGGTATCTTCCACGTCTCAAACTGTATTCTGATTTGTCGATCGTGCTTGCTGTATCCATTCCATGTGTCCGTGGTTTTCATTGTTATTCACCATGTAAAAAACATTACTTATATTGAATTTTCATACCCAAGTTTAACCCAATCTTCTTAATTATAAAAATAAACTATTCCTAATTATAAAAATTCTTAATTTTAATCACCTTCTTATAGTTATAATAGATAATTTAAATTCCATTAAACTTATTACGTTGGGATCATCGAATATAGGAAAACCTTATTCTACAAAATCATATAATTATTCAACTGAAAATGTTAATAAAAGTATTTGTTATCCACCTCACCGAATCCGATGAATATTCGTTATTGTCTTGATTCATATTCACAAAGAAAGTAAATTGTTAATGATCCACAGAAAAAGAAGTATTTTAAATATTTTAACTAAATCATATTTTGTCGTATTGTTGATAGATATTCCACGTCTATTAAAAACATAATTAAATAATGATATATAATTAAATATAAATATTATTTTATAAATCGATTTTATAAAATTAAATTAAGTAATTATATTTTTTATTTTATTATCCAAATTTATTAATTACATGTTATTAAATTTCATTGAGAGTTATGCCTCATTACTAGTATTTTAAGCAACACCTTACACATTAAACATAACCAATATCACTATATTTATTTGATACATGCAAATTAATTTTCTTTAGATGATATGTTTCCTTTGTCCTATGTTAATATTTTTGGCTAACAAACTACACACATGGTTTCCTTCCACTTGTTTTACCCTCATTAATGTGTTTGACAGTTCCTGATTTTGCCCCCATGTGTTTGACAATTGGCTACTCATGGTGGATATTTTGGCACAGTGTTCTCCCACTTAGGATTGGGAGGGATTTGTGCAGTTAGAAGTAGATGATGCGTCTTGCAATTTATGACAATATGGCCATAACCTGTAGAGAATATATCCTTATACTTACTTTATAAAATTCAACCAAATGTTTTCTACAATCAATGAAGAAGCATTATCAACATCCACATCTAAAATTTTGTTGCTCATCATCTTCATAAATTTTCAACATATTACACGTCATATTGAATCTAATACATTTTATTAGTATCTCTCTCCAATAGCTTCATGATTAGGGTATCATTTTATAAATTAATTAGTTTCTAAAAACTCTCTCCTCCAAAACGGTCTTCATCAAAAGTTTTTTGTTTTTATATTCAGTATACAATGATTTTTAAGTTAACAGGACTAAGAATATTATTTATTCTCTACTACCTTTATCATGAAAAATGCTTTTCGAAGTTACACCAAAAATAAAATAAAGATGTTACATTACTCAAGCATATGCTAACTTACTACATTTGGTAATTTTTCTATAATTGATTGTCTTCATATAAATGAAACAATTTCTTAGAGTTTAATGCAAAGGTTAAATACTAATTATATAAAACAATTATACTGCACTATAAACAAACTAAACTAAGATATTGATATATAAAAAATAATTTAAGAAACTTTTAAGCATCTTCAAACTCAATTTTCTTTTAATAATATATAATATTGTATTTTTTTGTTAATGTTTAATAAGTATGATAAGAATCGAATATAAATTATTTTACATACTACAATTAATTTTCATATTAAAAATTACAATATAATTTTAAAATGTAAATTTATCATTTTCTTCATTCTCTTTATTAATCTATCATACACTCTTAATACTTTTGTTGGTTAACTTATAACTTTAGTTTATCTTTAATTCGTAATTCTTTATTTTGTTCAATCTATTTTCTTTCAATAATTTTAGTTTTCAAACTTTTGAAAAACCACCAAATTTGTCTAATTCTCAAATTTGCACAATATTTTAACAAACTTTAAATCCTAAACTTAGAATGTTAAGATATCATTAAAAATAATAATCCAATTAAATAAAATATAAAGAATTAAAAAATGAAAATAAAATATAAAAAATCCCAATCATGATTTTTTCTATAATGTTAATATTAAAATTAAGAAAGACAATAACGAGACGAATGCCATAATTTAAGACAGAGTTAAAATATATCTAAGTTATTTTTTTCCTATTTGGATGTGCATTTCACGATTAAAATTACTTTACTTAGTTATTTCGAACTTTTTTTTATCATTTTTGATAAATTGATTGATTTAATAATTATATTTTCAAAATATGACTTATATTTTAATTTAAATTATTTATTATAAATATAAATTAAACTTATACAATGGAAACTATGTATATTTTTTATTTTCCAAGAAACAGCATAGTGGGAATTATTGTTGCAATTAATTAAAGAGATAAATTATTTCAATAATAAGTATTGAGTAAATATATGCTTACGTAGCAACGAAATCAACGACGTCGTGTTGCATCGCACATATTCATTTTTTACTTATTTAACCTTGTGTGTCTTCAATCTCCACAAAATTATCACTCCTAGTTGCTAGAATTTAATTAAAGAGGAAGGGTGGTAAGGTAATTGGGTAGGCTATAAAAATTCAAACCTGGACCTCTTCTGTTGCAAAAAAGGGCAAGAGGATCAGAGGAGTTACCGTGAGCCATTGTTGTTCTTTATCTAAGTTTTTATTTCTCTCTCTAGAATTTTCTATCTTCTCGTTTTTCCTCACAAATTAGGGTTTTTGCGAATCTGTTGTTTGTCTGCAATCTGATCGAAACCATGGTTTCCGATTCAATCTCCGCCGTGCCGATTCCCTCCGCCGCAAACACTAAGAACCCCGGGAAGAAGAAGAGGGTTCGATTTGTTTTGTTTTGATTTTTCTAATGATACATGCATTTGGTTTATCATTTCCATCAATCTTATCGATTGTAATTGTCTGCTTGTTTCAGACTAACAGGTCCGCAAAATTGAAGCAGTACAAAATCGATGCGCGCCGCGAACAATGGCTTTCGCAAGGTATGTTACGAGCGCACGTGCGCAGTTTTGTCTCCAGTGATCCATTCACTCGTTGACTCTCTGTTTTCTCGATTTGTATCCGAGAGTTTCAGGTGCGGTGAAGAGCAAGGGATGCAAGGACGGTGTGGACGACGACGTCGTCCACGCGCCGCCGCCGCCAGTGAATCACGGCAAGCACTCGTTGGAGCCGCTGAACACCAGGCGCGGAGGCGAAGAGGACGACGGATTGATTCATCACGATAGCGATTCAGAGTCTCCGACCAATTGTCCCGCCGGCGTATTGTGCGGCAACGATTCGGGGACGAATTTCACCGGCAGCAGTAGCGGCGGGAGCAGCAGTAGCAGCAGTTCCAGCAGCGGCGGGTGCTGTTCGGGGAACATTACCGAGGAGGAGGAGGAGGAGGAAGGCGAGGACGATGATGATGGTTGCTTGGATGATTGGGAGGCCATGGCAGATGCTTTAGCCGCCGATGACAAGCACGAAAACCCTTGTTCTGATTCTCCCCCTGTGGTTTCGCCTTGTGAAGGGTCCAGTATAGGGTCTCCGAATTCAAAACCCGAGAGTGGTAGATTGGTTCCTTGGGGCACTGGTAATAGCCGAGCGTGGAGGGCAGATGACGCTTTTCGCCCTCAGAGTTTACCCAATTTGTCTAAACAACACAGTATGCCGAACCCTGATCGCCGTTGCGTAGGAGGGGTCCCTTGGGGTCGTCTTCCCACGCCGTCCTCCTGTCCTATTTGCTGTGAGGATCTGGATTTGACGGACACGAGTTTCTTGCCATGTTTCTGTGGGTTTCGGCTTTGCCTCTTTTGCCACAAGAGGATCCTGGAGGAGGATGGTCGTTGTCCCGGGTGTAGGAAGCCTTATGAGTGCGACCCTGTTGAGACAGAAGCGAGCGTCCATGGAGGCAGCCTCACTCTTCGTTTGGCACGTTCCTGCAGCATGATCGAGAGGTCTTGAGCCCGTGGTCTGTCCTTTTCTGTTCTTTTTTTTTGCTTTGTTGCATCATCGTCTGTATTTTAGGGGATATCTAATTTTCATAGATTTAGTTGGCCTAGTGTTATGAGTTTTTGAGCACCTTGAAATCAAGTTGTTTCTCGTTTGATCTTATGGTGCATGTGGTAATGTAGAGTACTCATGTTGGTATGTGAATACATAAGGTGGTATAGAAATTCAATACATTAAAAATGGTTAATCATGCAGGTTATTTCCTTTATGCTTCTATTTACTCATGTTTTGAGCAGTTTCTCTACTCTAAAGTCTAATACTTCTATTTTGTACATCATGTCTTAGTGAACATACTCATATTTCTGATAATGCTCATTCAACATTTTGGCGGTGTGGAACGTGTAATGTTTATATTTTCTCTCTTCCTTTCCTCTCTCTCTTACGTAATTGCTTTTTGTATTTAATGCACTGAGGGTACTTACGATGCTGTCGTGTTTTCTCACCTCTCCATTTAAGATATTTGTAACTATGTATTAATAACTTGAAGGTATATCGAGTAATGATCATTACCCAAGTCATAATCTATATGGGTTTCCCGTGTCTTTTATCATCTTTAAATAATCCTTTTGATTTTTGAATCTGAAGGGAGGGGAGGGGGTCGTAAGGGATGGAAGGGGAAGCAAGGGAAAATAAATTCACCCAAAATTGTAAGGGAGTTGAAGAACGACGTCATCCCTCTCATTTTCGTTTCCTCCTCTCCATTCCCCACAATTTAGTATTGATGTCTCGTTGTCTCTCTGTTAATTGGTCACTATAAGTTTTTTTAAAAGCCAATTTTAATCATTCAACTTTCTTCTGGATTGTTTCTTCCACCAAGTGTAGTACAAAAATCCTGTTAGTTTGTGTTGTTTGTTTCTTTGATTCTAGTCTTTCATTACATATGACAACTTTATGCAAAATTAGAATATGGATACAACATTTTGTTGCTGGACAAGATATATGGCATTGTTAAAAGCTTGGTCCTTCTCTGCCCTATAACCAATTATCTCTTACATGAAAGGGATATCGGATATCCAGTTTTAATGTGAGTTAAAATTGTAAATACAGCTTATTTTCATGACATTTGGACATTGTTTTCTTGTTTCCCATTGATTCTCTTTAAGGAACCAACAATATACTGGTGTTAAGTGTAAATATGAAGGCAGGTCAATGATGTTTTTCTAGGTATGGGGATATCTTTATTTTATGAGGGCAATAGTGGTTTAAAGTTTCAAGGTATGGGAATATCTTTATGGCATTATTATACATGAATCTTAAAGGTTTGTTTCAGTCTAGGTCAAAGAATAATTTGCCCTTTGTGCATCCTGGGGGTTCTGATAGTGGTACATTACTGGTTTACCATTGATTTCAATCAACTACCATCAGATCATCATCTCGATTCCTTGTATTCTTTCAAATTGGTGCTTATTAAATTTTGTTTGTATCAATAATTTGTGCACAACAACCATTTACTGTGTATACAACTGCTGAATTTCTACATTAATATAATTCGTTTTATTTTTTGCTCTGTACTTTATCTGTTTCCAACCATATGATCAAAGAGGCTCACAGAATAAGCTAGCACTATTTTAATCTACATAAAACAGAGAAATTTGATTATTCTTGTAACTATGTAAATGTTTATAGAAAAGTGGCTGGTTGAAATTCTTTCAACTTGAAATATGAGAATTAAAACAATAGTATTTTGAAAGATCGGTAGGCCACTTTCATGAAAATGAATAACAATTGAGAAAATTGAGGTAGAAAGATGAAGTTTTAGAATGAAAATCATTCCCACTTGCTTGGTACAATGAATGTATGAGAAGTCTGAAGATTTAATTTGCTGACAGTTGCATATTTTGTTCAGCTCATATTTTTCATCATATTCTCTGTGATAATTTTCGATACATGGTAGCATGCTTTTCACAACCTTTTTCTCTGTCTCTCCTGCAGTTACTGGTTTGGGTTTTGTTGTAGTATAGGCAGTGGAACTGTTCACGTGAAAGGTACTAATAAATATGTCGTTGCCTTGTGAGCTTTTGGGTTATACAATCTGCACTTGTATTATGTTAAACGCTCCATGTGAAGAAAAGTTGGTCTTATGAGAATATAAACCTTTTACTCTCACCCTTTAAGAAAAGATAAATGGCCAAAAGATGACGCTATTGTTCAATTATTTGAGAAATAGAACTACGGTGAGAATACAAATACATACCTTACTAATATCAGGTTGCTCTGCTAGTGGTAGGTATATCATTTTTTGTTTGATGATGTTTCAAAACGAGCTAAAGAGTAGGAATGCCTTGGAAACTAAGATAAAATATTTTGAGTTTGAACGTTTCTAATGATTATGTAACCAGTGTGGTAAAGTAACAGTTGTTGCTGGAATGTCGCTTTGCAAACAGAAGACGTGGGAAACATGCACAAGAAAAACTAACTGTTGTTAATGTAATTCAACATGCTCTACATGGGAGTAAATTAGATATGGGAAGTACCACTTTATAACTTTTCTGGTTGCCTGGTTGTTCTGTATTCGTAAACTTGATGTGTAAGGACATGATACGAGACCTTTTTTCCCCTATAATGTGCATGTTGTAAACACTAAGAAACATATAATAATAACATACCCATTTATTGTTGTTGGAATTAGTTATTGTGGTAAGTTTGCTGAGTTTTAGAAATAGGAAGGTGGTTAAGCCTTGATGAAGCTGTATCTGGTTTGCAGCGGTTTTGAAGCGTATGCTTATGACAGAAGATAGGTTTTTAAATTGAAGATTGTAATGGACGGCCAACTAATATCTTGAGAGATAATTTTCTGCTGTCCTTAGCCATTATGCGTTTCCTCTAGTACTGTTTCCTTTGAAGTTCGTAAACTCTGTTTGGCACAATATTAAATTAGTTGTTTTTACATTCTCCATGTTTTCAGGCTTGGGTGTGAAAACTTAATCCGATCATGCATTTAATATTCGAACGGGTTTTGTGCATTTAATTCCCTTAATCTTAGTTCATTTAATATTTTTGTTTGTGTTTTTAATATTCTAGGATGCTTTCTATCTTGGTCAAATAATATTTTCCTTTGCCAACTTTCTGTAATTGACAATCAATTGGTTGTTGTTTCCTTGGGTTGCCGCAATCCACGAGCATTGCTAACTTTCTATTTGTTTGATGAAATTTACGGTATTTATTCTTTCTTCTCATTAATTTCTTAATTCACTTTCCACTCATCTCAGAATGAGTTTTTCGAAAAATAAAATATACATTTCGAAATGAATGGGAAGGTAATTCAAGAAATTAGTAGACGAAAGAAGTTAAAGCTTGAAATTTAGTTTCATTTCAGGCAGGCTTTCGTGACGAGTCAAATGCGGCAAACAAACTCTTAGCCATTGGTAGTTGATTTTCTTGCTGCTATCACGCATTGCGAAAAATGGAGTCGTTTAGATAGGAATTTGCTCAATGTATTCGGTTTTGCAGTTTCCAACTGTTTGTGACACCTCGTGAGTGCCTGTCAAATGAATGTACTTTGTTTCCTGTCATGTTTGTGTTAGGTGCATCTTACCCCTTTTGAGCATTAGAGAAAACGAGAAAAGAAAGGAACTAACTAGTTTTCAGACTTAAATTAGCTTTTAGGATACGTTACGTTTCAGCCAGAATCGAATCTTTTAATTTTGTAAGATGAAGCAGGGTTGTGCTTACAGGGACAATTTAGTATGATTAAATGTTTATGTGGACAAATCAATTTTCTTCCCTTGTTATTTTAAGGGAAAATGTTCTGTGTACACCTTCGAACATTCAAACACCAATACAACACTTATGAAATGATGTTTTACTTTAAAATTAAATCACAAAAAGTGTTATATATATAATAAGATATATGAAGGTGTAGGATGGGTGGTTTGTAATTGTTACGATATAAGTTTAGCAGCATCCTATCTTAATTGAGTAAATAGTTTATACACAATCACTGTAAAGAATTTGATTTTTATAACTACATTTAATTCTTGTATTTATTTATTTTTTTTCATTAATTTATGGTATATAACATAACAAATTTTACTCCGTCTTGCGAATTAAACTCTTCCATTATATTAAATAAAGGACATAACTCCTTTGTTAAAACGAATGGATTGCTGAGTGGAAGTGGATTTGTATAAGTGGGTGAATACTGGACACGAGCATCTCATAGAATAGACTTGGTTTTTAGAAGAAAAAAATATAAACTATAAATATTCATTATATCTTTATTTTTGTTTGTAAGTCACATTTCTTATGACAAATCTTTTTCTTCTCTATCAGCATAGGGATTTCATTGGAAGAGAAAGAGAAAGAGAAATAATAAATATTGATAGTGTTGAAAAATAATGTATATACTATCAAATCAATAGTTGAATAATACTCTTATTTTGAAAAATAATTAAAAGTGTTTATGTGAAACTTTATTTAATATCTCATTTCAACAACAAATTTCGCCTTTGTTTTGTTAGTTTATATTTTTAATCGTTTCACTGCAAGTTTCATGCAATGACAATAATATATTGGGAAAAAAAGTTTACAATGTTAGTTATCAACAAATTTTAGAAACTGATAATTTGACGAGAGCAACAAAAATGTTTTTACCACATGTTTTTATGTTTTAGAATCTGGGAATTTTAAGATTTTGTTTTACGTATATAAGATCAAATTTCTTCATTTTTATAAGATTTAAACAATGTCATCCTAGCCTTTTAGTACAAATAAAAATGAAATTAAGAAAAATGAAAATGTCTATAAAATAATAAAGCTATTTTTACGTTAATTTATCTTAACCCTGATAACAATAATTGTAGTAATTGTTGAATCAAAACAACATACAAGTCATTTGTACATGGTTTGAGAGATTGCTTCGCTAAAGTGGGTGGGAGGGGGGACAAAGCCAAAGGATTATTATATTTGAATCAATTTATTGGATGATTAAGGATGCATTGATAACCAAATTGATGTTATATTCCAAAAACAAAGGGTATCCATTCGTCTTTGGTCATCTTTTCCTTTCGAAAACAAACATGGAACGATTACAAGCTTTGACCTCTTCTTCATGTCCATCACATACACTTGTGTTATCAGTTTCTTCACTGTAACATGAAAGAAAGAAAGAAAGAAAGAAAAGCATGGCTAACAGCTCCCAATGGAGGTGGCTTTGGCACTTACACATCCCAAAGAGATGCAAGATCTTTCTATGGCTGGCCTTGAACGAGAGGCTCCCTACAACAGTTCCTCACATTCTAGATTTTGCATTTTCACCATGTCCCTTCTGCCACGGCCACGACACTCTCCTTCACGTGTTGCGCGATTGCCCTCGAGCCACAACCCTATGGCTTCGTTCATCTTGTCGCACCCCCAAAACCAACGTGCCTTCTTCTCTTCCCCGCTATGGGGGTGGATCCGCACCAATCTCCACCACCCTTGGTCCAGCGTTGACTCCCATGAAAAGGATGCTGTTTTATTCGCTGCCATGGTTTGGTTACTGTGGAAGGATAGAAAAAGTTGGGTGTGTGATGGACGTAGTTTTTCGTCCGAAAGAGTGCTGCAACGTGTGGCTACTCTAGCTGAAGATTATGGGGGACTCGTTGGAGTGGAACACTCTTCTCCGACCACCGTTGTACGCTACGTTTCATGGTGTTTCTACTGGAACCAACCCCCTTCGCAGCTTCACTTGCGCTCCGTCACACAAACTTCAACTCTCCTCTCTCCCAAGTTGTAAATTTCCATGCCTTTATTTCACTCTCATGTTCTAACACCCTCATCTCTTAAAACTACTTTCTAGTTTGTAACCATTAGATTCAGTACATATAGTATCTAAACTTGGTTTAAAAACTACAATTAACTAAATTTAATTAGTCAGCAAAATTTACTTATATATTAATCTTATTATATCTCTAATTTCTTAATCCACTACCTCCTAGGTTGTCCAATATTAATTTAATTTAAGTTTAGTATTAGGTGCTTAAATCTACTATTATTGATTATTTGTATTGTTTTTTATTTCTCTTAGAAATTATAGATAAATAATTTAATCTTACAAGATCGGAATATTTATCTATATATTATTATAATAATCCATGGTTTGGGATTTCTCCACAAATACTTCTTCCCAATAATATTAATATTATAAAAAAAAATACTTTGTTTCTTTGCTATGTTTTTTAAAGGAAAAAGATTTTCATTGAGAGTGCATTAGGGTAACATGACTGTTTCTATGTCTTGTTAAATGATGGCAGAAATAAATCAGTGTTGTTTGATAGAATAATACAAAAAGATTAAAATTATCTGGTAAATGTTGTGGATTAAGAAAAGAGCAATGATTCCAGCAGCAACTGTTTGAGGTTGATTCTTGTTGTCTTCATAAATATCATGTATGTTGTATGTTATGTGTTGGAATTTCTTTCTAGAATATTAGCTTTCAACCTGCTTTCAACGTGCCTTCATTCTTTTTGTTTGCAGAGACATATTGGATTATATATTATGCTAAAATAACTAAATATAACCACAAAATGTTACTGCCTTGAGTACCTCTTGGTGCTTGGTTCACCAATGCTACCCTGAAGGTTTTGCTTTTGATTAATAGTTACTTCCCTTCCTTCAAATTGAGCCACTTGCTCAGCAATAAAGTGAAGCAAATTAGTCTTGCCATCTGTGCTTTTTACGTCAGAGAACTTAGGTTGAAACCATGGGCATTGCCTCTTGAAGTTCCAGCATTCATTCGGTTGCCAGCTTTGAGAATGGCCTCAAGGAATTTCAGAAGCAGACCACTACTCTTCATTACAACCCATTTCAAGAGTTTTTAGATGTTCTCTAAGTTGAATAACTTCGCAATCGTAGCTCCATCTGAAAAGAAGGGCTCAAACGAATGAATGCCGTCGGAACTGCTTTCAGGATGTGGTAGAGGAATGACCCAGCATCAGCAAGTTTATCTAGATTTCCACTGAAATGGATTAGTTTCGCTTCTTCTTCTTGAGTAGGAGCTATTCTGGTGAGTCTTTCAAGTGTCTCAGCACTGAGTCCTTGGCCATCTTGGAGTGCATCCAGGATTCCTTTGCGAGAAATTGCAAGAGATCTTGGCGCAATTGCATGTTTTTGGATTTTCGAGGGTCAGAATTGATATGAATTAGAAGAGGGGTTATTTAGGATATTTAGGGTTATAGGTAGGAACCAGAAAGAAAGAAGTTGAAAGGAAAGAATCACTCTTCCTAAGAAAGTAACACACGTAAAGGACGTGAAAATTCTTTGATACAGCTAAGGGTTCTTGAGTCACTAAAAAATTTAGGAGAATCACTCTCACTGAGATAAAAGAGATAAACTCTAATATTTCTGAATAAAATTTCACGTGTTATTTCTTGATAAAAATGATTCAGCTGATATAGAAGCGTTGCCATTAGAATTACAAAAACTCAATAAAAGAAAATAAATACTAATAATAACTCATTAATCTAAGAACTGAAAACTATTTAATGAAAACAAATAAAGGCTAACAATCATTCATTAACCTAGGAATTGAAACTATTTAATGACTAATTATATTTGAAACTGTGTCAATTAATCAAAAGTCAACCTATGCACCCTGATCTCCCAAAGAGTGATGACTAAATTTTTAATTGGATCCTTCATACAACTTAAAACAAAATCAAAGACCCGTTAATTCAAAATATAATTTGTTCAACCAAAATATTGATGGAAGAGTTCCTTTATTTTCCTTTATTATCATATACGTCAAGAATGAATAATTGAGTTGGTGTGTTGCAGTTGGAGTTGGAGTTGGAGTTGGCTGAATTTTTGTCATGGGTTTGGTTGTTACTTGAATATCCAAAGAGTGTTTCCATGAGATCATAATCAAACCTGTGGATTAAGTTGTGAAACAAATTGTGAAGTTGACAATGCACTGAAGATAAAGAAGAACTAGCAAAATGTGGGGTTTAAAGTCAAGCGAGATTTACCTGAATGAGCCATCACTGATCTGATCCCACACAGTTGAATGGTCTACATTAGCTACAACCTTATACAAATATAGAGGCTTCAACCTAGTTCGGTTTGCACCATTCCCTCTTGAGCTCTCCCCTACCGTACCCTCTGTGGTGTTTTTTGCTTTCTCTTTAGGGAGTAATGGGGGTTTTAACAATGAAGCAAAACCGCTTACCTTTGGCGGTGACACCACACCTTCACTATCCATGATAGGAGATGAAAGCAAAGATGGTGCTTTTGGAACATTCATTGGTGATGGTGATGTTAGTAGAGTTTTCTTCTCAAAAATCATTGGTGACGTTTGTGGTGGTGATGGAAGTGGAGGTGGTGGCTGGTGTTGAGTCGGTGCCAAAGATGCTGAAACTGGACATGGCTGAGAAGATACCTGTGGTAGTGGTTTAACTAGATTCCCATGATCAATCAAACCCGGACATGGAGTTTCACACAGCAATGTAACTGTAACCTCCTGAGGCTTAGTTCCTTTGGATCTTTGGACCATTATATCTGTTCCTTTTTCTTCGCCATCTTCATAACTAGGATTATAGGGAATCTTATTTTGAATTGCCTACCTTCTGTTTCCATCTTAAACAAAATATCAATCCCATTTTCTCCAACAAGTAATCCTTTCATATCGTCACCGACTTTCTTTATATCAGCATGCTCCATTCCTGCTTCTCTACGAAAACTCGTTGCAACTTTATGTCTATGAACAGTATCGAGCATGAACAATTTTTTGGAAGAAGTAAAAAGATACGACTACAAAAAGTAACATAGCAGCTGCTGTAGCTGCCACTGCTATTACAATTCCTTGACTAGGGGTTGACATTGATTAATTTCTCCTAACTAGGGCCGCTGATAATGTCAATGTGACAGTTGTCACAGGTAAGGTTTGTGCTACTGTGTCTCTGAGGGTATAAATTGCCCTCACAAATGTCAATTCATACTCGATGCCAATGAGATCATACATAAGACAATTTCTTGATGGTTGGTTATAATTGTTCCTTTGTTTATGGTGGGTGTTACGGTAGGTACAAATTGATGACCGTTCTGTTGGTATAATACAGTGCTTCTCTGAGTGATAATATTTGTTGTGCTTGGTTGATCAGAATGATGCCGGTTCTCAAAACTGTAACTTGGAAGGCAACAATAATGCAGCTGCTGCATTGGGTAATAAGCTTTTTTGAAGGGCTTTGAGTGCTACTTATTTCTTGTACTGATGGTCGGTTGCTCTCAAGGAGATTCGATTCAAATCGCGCATCTTCAGGGTATTGTCTTCGTAGTTTTTGGTAGGTTTAATATATTAATGGGAATTGATTAATAATCAATGAAAGTGCCAGTCAATTTGGACTCACTTGCTAGCTTCTGAGCGGCAAGTTTATTTAATTTAGTTGGCATAGATTAGTGGGAAATTGATTAATCACTCAGCCCTAGATCTTCTTCTACTCATGAATTCAATGAAAAGTTTTGGCCTTTTAAGAACAGGAAACTGGAAAAGTATAAGGAAAACTTTTCCACACCCTTTTCTTGAACAAATCTATTATAAAAAAATTTAAATTTAGTTATTAAAAAAATACGAAGGACAAATGAGGGTGGAAGGAGGGCTCGATGATATAATCTCGTAATTTATATCCAAGATTGTATCATTTTCCATCAACTTCCGATACTGAGCCCATTATTCTATTTTTGTAATGTTCGGCATGACAGGGCATGTTCTAGTTTAGGTTTTTCATTATTCAAATATTACAAGATTCAATACACTTTATAGAGTTAAGGAAACCACGGTCAGTGACGAACGAATAAATAGAATGGAGGAATTTATGTAAAAATGTTGCAGAACAACGATCTATTTTTATATATTTTGATAACTTTTCTCTGTACATGAAAAATATCAATAGACAAACAAGAGACCAAAAATTTAGCGATTCTGACATTTGCTTTTCTGATTCCTAAGGGTATAGATTGGTGAACAAATGGAAAATACACTACATGCTTTGATATTAACACCAGGTGTAGACAAAATTGGAGACATAGAGACCAGTCAATCTGTGATCACAATCTAGCCTTCTTTGAGGATAATGGAGAGAGTAATGATGGTGATGGATCGCATGGAAGAGAGATGGGTGAGCATGTTGCAGATAGAGGGGGACTGCCATCAATTGACCGCATTCGTTTGAGAGATCTTTTCTCCCCTTCCTTCACTTTCCCTTTCATGATGAAATCTTTTAAACGTCTTACATCTGACAATTTGACAGGTTTCAACAGAAACTCCTCTGCTCCTTCCTCTAGGCACCTGCCAATTGATAGGAATGAACTGTTAAGAAATATGCCTGGAAATAATTGTTAGTATGCATTGTTTCTATGTGTAGGATAATATGCATGGTATAATATAACTTGGTAAATTACCAGAAGGTTATATATAACTTTATGTCATTACAAGCACACGATACAACAATACACACACTGGCAACGAAACAAAAAACATCAAAGAATTTATGGCAAAAACTTCTTCTTATGTAAAGGATTTTGACTATGTTTTATTGAGGAAGCGTCTTATTTGGTAAATTCTGATAAGAAATTATCTGAATAGTTAATATTTGCAAAGCACAAGACTAACACACAAACCTTCCACGCTTGTCACCCTAATCTCTATTAAGAGTTATTACCAGTCGGTGGCTTCCTGAATAATTAATGCTAATCAAGACATAAACAAACACAGTGCAAGCATATGCGCCAGTGACTATCAAAGATTTCTAGGGAACTTTAATAACAACTATTCAACATGTCAGATATACACAAGGATAGGTACCTAATGTTTAGAGGTCGGTATCAGGTTAGAATTAGAAAAAAGTTGATATCAATCGGAATTCAACTTATGGAAAGGGTCCATCAACCGTGTTCAAATACTCGGATTTTTCACTGAAAAAACATCATATAGTAGATCTCAACGTTCCCGAGACATTTTACGCTTTACCTCGCCAGTTCATAGACCAATCAACAAACACCATCCAAATGGTAATTGTTACCAAAATTAAGACATTATTTCAAGTGTTCATGGATGAAAAAAACTAAATATCTACCAACAATTCCATTAGAAGCAAAAGACGTGTAAGCTAATCGAGAGCTTACCTATCAATTCGAGTCAAAACATTCTCCGACGACATGATCACCACTGGAATCTCTTTAAAGACAGAAGACTCCTGCTGAAATTAACACAAGGAAGTATAATTAAGAATCCACTCCCTCCCTGTTCACAATTTAACAAGCACTTTAAACCCAACCCAAAATAAAAAATACTCAATACAACTTCGTGTCCAACCAACTAATTAATTCAGCTAGAAGATCAATCCTCACAGAAAAAAAAAATCATAATAACACTAAACACTCTTCAAATAGTAAAAAGCAAACAGACTACACACCTTGATTTTCTTGAGTAATTCATATCCTGTCATTCCCGGCATGGAATAATCCGTCATTATGAGATTAACCTTCGCACTCTGTCACCACAACGAATATAAAGAAATAAAAAAAGTTAACACCAAACTATTTCAAGAACCAGTATTAAAACAAAGCCAAAAACGCCAACAGCAGAATTCGCTTACATCAAACCCGAGAGAACTGTTCTCTCCGTCCAAGCCCAAATACTGAAGAGCACGCGTTCCACTCTCCACAACCGTCACTGAAAAAACACCCATTCGAAACACAGACACAACACTTCAGAACCAATCGCAAATTCCCACACAAAATCACAAACACGCCATTCGCAACGCCGGGTTACCTTTGCAGGAAGAAATCTTGAGCAACCGTTCAATGACCTTGCGATCAACGAGGCTATCATCAACGGCAAGAACGTGAAGCTGAGGGGACTCGTCGAGAAATTCCGTTAAGTTGTGCCGGAAAATTTCGCCGGCGATAGCCATGAGAGTGAAAAAAATTGAACAGAAGTGGGTGTCGTGGTGAGAATAGAAAGTACAGAACTCAAGTGGTGGAAAACGGGTGGGTTTTATTCATTTATTTAGATGGGGAAAGGAGAGAGAAAAAATAATAATGAAAAATGGGAAGATGAAAAGTAAAAGAAAATAATAAAGGCGATAGATTCGGAGGATCCAAATCTGATAGATCTTTGCAAATCCATGAGAAGCGATTATGCCACCTCCACTTGTCCCTTCCCTTCTCACGTCAAAATCAAAATCTTACTTTTATTATTACCTATTTCTTTATTTATTAAATTAATTAATAATAGTAACCTTGGTTACGGTCAGAGGAGGCCAAACGTATCTTATTTGGCTCCACTCTCCCTGTTCTTGGTTTTGACTTCCCAATGCCATGCCCCTTTTTTTTCCATCTTTCTTTTATCAAGGATAATTCACTCTCGATTAAATACATTATAGTGGTTTCAGATTTTTTTTTCTAATTTTTATACTTTATATATTTAAATAATAGTGAATTATATTTATAATTTAAGCTTAAAATTATAGATTAACTGAAAAGTTGTTTCAAGAACCGGTTACCGCCACTTGTTTGAAAGTTCAGCGATTCTAGACGAAAAAAAAAAAGGTTGAACGGTCTTTTCCATCTTAAATTCTTTGTTTGATTTTGCGTGGGGCTTAATTGCACTGCTGGGATTGGAATTACGTTGAAAACTGGGAAGAAACGGATAAACCAAAGACACTGAGAATATTTTGTGATTTTGCTTAGTCAATGCGTGTTAAACGCTAATTTCCTCTCTCTCTCTCTCTCTTTTTGTCTTTTTCCTTTTTACGTGGAGTCCAAGGAAAGATCCGAGAAAAGGATGAAAAGAATTAAAGCATTTTGTAAATTGAATCACGCGAGTCTTACTCTTGACAAAATTTTCAATATGAACAAAAAATAATTTTAGATTTCTTTTATATTAGTTCATTAATATAACATTTTTAAGGCAATGAGATATGTTACGTTCTAATTTTAGCGTTGCACGAAATCGTGATCTTTTAAAAACATAAATCATTGCATATTTAAGCGATTTTCAAATGTTGTGTATTTAAAGTCATGAATAGTGAAACTTGTCTTCAAAATAATCATCATCGTACTTTTGTTTGGATATATTCACTCTTTTTTTAGATTTGTCGTTGATTATGAGGATCTCGGATCATAATAGATAGTGCATTTAATTAGAGATTTGAAGTGATATGGCAAGGGTTCTTATTAATTTAGATTCTCTTTTAGTTAGTTTGTTAATTACGTAAGATCAGATTAAGATTCGATAATCTGAGAAGATATGTAAGTCTCAAACTTACTTCGAGTGTGTCCGTACCATGAAACTTATTCACTAATTGGAGAAATTGACTCAGAGGATAAACTGTTTATTTATCATATAAAGTAAAACTTAAGAACTACTAACTATATTTTAAAAAAAAATGTATCTTTAATCTTCGGACAACGTACATAAACTATATATCTTACATATATATACCTTAAAATGTATATTATTATGCATGCCATTAACAATTATATTACAATATTATATTTTCATTGTAAATAATATATTTGCAGTTCAATAGTTTCAAATATATCACCACATCTATATCATAATACGCTAAAACATTTAAAAATCAATAAATGAAGATAAATAGTTAAAGTAATTTTTTGCCAGAAAGGTAAAGTGATTGGTGCTTGTTGATTACTGTTCTGCTAAAGAATTAAATCTTCTTCTTGAAAAAAAAAACATAAATATTCTATGTATTAAAACCTCTTCTGGCGTAGACTTTTAAATAATGTCTCTTATTGAAAAATGGATGAAAATGTAATAAATAGATCATGATAGGTTATGAAGATTTTAAGATTGTGACATTTATATTTATATCCTTAATGTTAATTTATAGTATTTACCAATTCCTTGTGTACAAAGGAGATGATTAACATTGTAAGTTTTTTTCAGCCAAACATTATTATTATTATTATTATTATTATTATTATTATTATTATTAATTACTTATTCATTTAAAACGTGGACTTTAATTTAGTTCAAATAGAAAAAATGCCAATCAAATTTGAGAGATTAACCCAACCGAATTCATCATTTGACGTATTAACTTGTGTACATGGATTGTGCATGTTTCTAGGTTGAACTTTTCCCAATCAATCTATGAGTCAACATGTTCTGTGCGTGCGTATCTGCTTCTTTTTTTGTTTTTATTTTCCAAACAAATATATTTAAAAATTAAAATAAAAAACAAATAAATGATCATTTTGTAATGTATTGTAAATTATTATCCCTTTCTTTCTTTTACAAACCCATAATTTTTTATTTATTTTTCATGCGTTTTTCTCTTTTCAACTTATTTAACTTCAATCAACCAAATTCATTTTTCACTTATTTTATCTTCTCTTTCAGTGTGTTAATTTCTTTATTCACATCCCAATATAGACTTGTTACACATTTTCTTTCATCATACAACGACAGAGATAAATTTATATTTCGCATTTACATTTGAAGATTCATATTCATATTTTTAGTAAAATAACTTAAAATGAATAATGGATTCAATTTTAAAAAATTAATTTAAAATTAAATTGAGTCAAATATAAATCCACAATTTACATAAAAAATAAAACTATTTAGAGTTAATTTCATTTCTCACGCACGAAAAAAGCTAAACGTATACATAAACCTTAAGAAAGTGGGTTTTTACGTTAATAGTAATAATAATAATAAATCTTATAATTAAAATTTGTTAGTTTCTTATTTAATTTATACTGTAAGTTAATTTTAATGTAAACAAAATTATAGATATTTGTAGAAAAACTAAAAAAGAAAAGAATCTTTATCATTAAACCTAAGTCATTCATTTCCTTCATTGGATTTGGTACTTCATTTATCCACCTCATCTGCTTCCCCTTTTGTGCTCCATTCACCATCACATTTATTATTTATTTATTATTGCCTCTTAAAGTAGGCACTATATTCTTAATATGTGTACTATAATATTTCTAAGTCTCGGATTCTACACCTTTATAAGATTTGCGATTTTTAATCACAACACTGATATGATTCCTTTACACTTTCACATTATCTTTTTTTAGTGTTTTTGACAAGAAAGAAAGGGAAGGATAACATCACACTATCCTTTTAATATATGTGTAGAGAATAATTAAACTAATACCTCGAATTCCTTTTCTCCCTTATTTAAAAAAAAAAAACGAGTTGATTAAAAATGAGACTAATTTTTTTTTTTTTACTTTAAAACGTTAGAGAGACAAAATATGGATGGATAATATAACATTTATTTTAGTCGTATTTCTATATTTATTTTTATAATTATAAAATTTAGATATTTTTATTTTTTATATTATATATATGATATTTTTCTATATTTTATCATTTTTATTTTTTTTATTTACTATTTTGTTATTTTTAATTTTTTAAAATCAATCTATTTATTATATTATTGTATTTTTCTCATATTTAACTTCTTCACATTTTTAAAATTTTTTTAATAATTTATTTTTTCCATTTTTTTTAATAAATTTGACAAATATAAAATTTGTTATTTATATTTTTTTAATATTTTAGGTGAATTTTAATAATCATTAATGTTATTTTATTTATAAGTTATATTAAGTTTTGTTGTATTATATTTTTTAGATTTTATTATACTTATTTATTATATATCAAAATTTTTTAATAAAATAATTATATTTTAAAGACATGAAAATAATTTATAATTAATTTTTTCACTTTAAACTAATTAAATAAAAATTAAAATTATTAAATATTTTTTCATAAATTGTATAATTCATATTTATAAATATTTTAAAATAATAACTTAAAAAATAATCAATATATATATATATAATTAAATACTTAAATATAATGTTATAATAATAATAATAATAATAATAATATTATTATTATTATAATAATAATATTATTATTATAATAATAAGTATTTTATATTTGAATAAAAACATATTAAATATTTATATATATATATATATATATATATATTATAAATATGATAAATTAAAGTATATACTTAATTAATAATAATTAAAATTTATAAATATTGTTTTATATAAAAGTATTAAAAAATATAAAATTTAATATATTATAAGTATAATTATTTTTTAAAAGTTTTTTTTTTAATTTAGACTCACTAATAATATTTTTTTCTTTCCTTTCTAATTAAAAAACTAATAAAGGAAAATTGTTTCTTTCTTTATTTTTTTTATAATCGAAGGATTTTTACACTATTGTCATTACATTTCAATCACAAATATATTTTAAAAACTAAATTTACTTATAATTGTTAATTAAAAAATTAATATGGATTTAAAGTTCTAAAACTTTATTATCATGGTTTTAATTATTATTTGTGTGAGTAATTACAATTACACTTTATATTTAAAATTGAAATTGTTTGCCTTTTATTTTAAGATTTGAGCTGTGGGAAAAAATTAGTTGGACAGTATTAACAATATATTAAATAGTTTGTATAATACAAAATGACATTATTTTAATACAAGGAAAAATCTACCACAATACAACAGAAAGAAAAGTGCAATCAAATTAGAATATAATCTTGTTGGTTGTGAATGTTAGTTAAGATTTGAGATAAATGCAGGATATACCGTTTCTTTTATTTTTACCCTAATTTTGATAAGGCAAACTCTATTTTTGCCCTGCATTTTTCTATGGCTGACAAATCAAATCCAACCATACTTACAAAGTTGGATTGGAACCACTCAATTTTTTATTGGACTATAAATTAATAGTTTAGTCCATTGGACCATATACGTTATAATAATGATTAAAAAAAAAACATATATTAGCTATACAAATATATACTTTTCAATGTGCCACGTATTCTTTACGAACTCCTGATACTGCATCAAACAGATGCATGGTGTGATTAATTTGTCACTTCTATAATTTATGGCTAAAAAAATATGTTCTTGGTGTGGTGTGTTTTTTAAATATTTATTTTTCATTCTTATATTTTAAATTTTTTAAATATATTATTTTAATCATCATTATACTTTGATTTGATATTTAATTATAATTTTTCGTCTTGATATATTTGATAAATGATTAAATTTGATTTTAATAATATTATTTTTGTTATAAAATTCATTAAATAACTAAATTTATATGTTTTTTTTACATTAAAAACTAATTTATTAAGTTTAAAATATAAATGTGAAAATTATATTTATACAATATATAATGTCAAAAAATAGATTTGACTTATTATTTTTAATATTACTGTTTAAAGACATATTCGATAAGTAGAATAAGAGAGTAAAGTGATTTTTTGAGATTGTTTGGGATGAAAAGCTTGTGTAAAATAACATACACATTCTCTTTCTTTCTTTCTATATATATATATATAAAGAGAGTAATTAACATATTTTATCGTTTTTCCCATTATCTAAATGGTATCTTTTTCCACTATTTCATATCATTTTTTTAAAATATAAAAAATTCAGTAAAAATAATAAGCCATATTAATTCATATACAATTTTTATAACTTTATTTTGTCTTTTCGTTTTATAATAACATAATACAAAACGTATACTTCATATTCATGACTTTATTTTTCTTTTTTTTTCTTTTTTTAAGTTGTGATTCAAAATATAACTTCCACTTTATATTTCTTAATGAGAAAATGCAAACAAGCATTATATAAAAAAATATGTTTTCATCTATTGACTTTTACATTATTTTGATGATTAATGTCTCTTCATAATAGATAAATAGAGATTTAAATAATGAGAAGTGAGAATATCATTCATAGAGATGATTAAATATAAAAATTAGGAAAAAGATATTTTGACACCACTATTCACACAAACAACCCCGTAAACAACTGCATTTTATATTATAATAATAATTTTAACTATTTTTTATTTTTATTTAAACTCTTTCATGATTATTATATTAATAAAATGGGTTATTTTTTCTTTTGGTTGTCAAAAGATCATTACCCTAAAAATTATTTAGTGTGTAGATTGTAATGATCATATAAATCGTTACTATAATTCACAAAATAGTAAACAAGTAAATAATGACATTTATTTTACATTATATTACTCGTTATTGTAACATAGATTGAAATTTTTGTTCACTAACAAAACTTCAAAATATAGTAACATAATTTATTTATATATTATACATGTAAAAGTAGCTTCCTCGAAGCTATCCCACTGAACTATATTTGTTGTTCAGTAGTCACATCTCCATCTCTCAACTCCTTATTTACTCTCACATAAAAATGACCATCGCAGTCTCATCCACATGGAAAAATAGGGGTAAGTATTAAATCATTCGATATAATAAAACAGATATAGAAGTAATAATTATATATTATGATCAATTACAAAATCATCAACACACTAAGACACCTTCCGGAAGTATATCCTAACTATGCCTGAACTCAGATACTCATCTGTGGACACATTGTGATCGGCACCCGCAGTACTATTTTGACCACCCTCCACACAGAGTAGGATTACTAGCGCCCTTCATCACTCATACTGGAGTACCCCTCCGAGCGTGCCACCAACTATCCCCCCATCGACTTCTCACCACCTGATCTCGTCGTCTACCTGACCCGACCAATCAGTGAAGTCTGAGACCTCATTCAGAATCCTCCGACATAGTTATTACACTAATGTACTCTGTACCACCCCAAGTACCATTCACACACAACAAAAATCATTTACATATGCCGAATTCTGGACCACCTGTCCTCAAGGCTCATCTGGTTCAATAAATAATAGTATTTGACTGATTCTAGGCACCAACCCTCTGGCTCAGTCTAGCTAATATATAACGTCTCATTACTAATTTTGGGCATCAGCCTTCAGGCTCAGTCTGACCCACACACGTCACAACACATTGCTGATTCTTTAGAACTGCTACTTTCATTCTATATTTTATATATATATATATATATATATATATATATATATATATATATATATATATATCTAAGTTATTTCCAAAATTATTTCCGAAATCATTTCGAAATCATTTTCAAAATCATTAAATTATTATTTTACCCTTGATCTTTTCTTAAAATTCCATGTATGTCCCTAAATAACTATTTTACCCTTTGACATTTCTAAAAATTCCTTCCATGTCCTGAAAATGACTATTTTGCCCTTGGACATTTTCGAAAATTCCATTTATGTCCCTAGGATGTAAAATGACTATTTTACCCTTGAACATTTTCAAAAATTCCTTCCATGTCCCTTTCTTCTTCCTCGCGTCAGTAACAGTATCAAAATTTGCATATTTTAGCAGATTTCAAATTACTCAGTTTTAGACCACCAAACTAGTCCCAAATTCAAATAAAACATGAATTATATCTAATTTAAGTTGAAAACAACAATTTTACCATATAATTCATCCTTAATTTTAAGAATTTCAAAAACTTTCAAACGGTGAACAGTTCGTCAAAATCAAAAATTCTTCAAAATCAGACATTCAAATAACTCATATTTCTACTCATATTCCTTATTCACAGAGTACACAACAATTTAATTTCATATATTGAATGAATTAAACTTTCCCTTACCTGGTGTGGTATTTCTACCGAAGTTTTCCTACTTAATTCAAGCTCTCTCCCGTTTCACCCGATCCTGCACGAGTAGAGTCTCGTGGCTTGAAATTTAGACAAAAAAAGAAGAAGGATGGGAGGGAGAACTACTTGTTGATGCTTCCTCACCCTTCTGTATGCGCATATATAAAAAAAGAATTTTACTGAGAAAAATTGCGTTACGAACTTTTCTTGTACAATAATATTATTATAATATATAAAAAATCATACATCACATAAATTATGAGAAGTTATTAGAAATTTATATGTAAGATATTTATGTCTTCTATTATTATTTTTCTTTTACATTATTTTATTTTAATAAATGATAAAATCAAACAATACACTAATACAATAATTAAAAAAAAGTATACTACATTCATTAAAAAAAAATTATTAATTTTAAAGTTTTTTATAAGTATTTTGAGATTGTCTATCTATATTATAATCAATATATAATATTTCTTTTTTTTTACTCCTCGTTTTTCTCTGACATTTATTTTCCCTTTCAGATTTTTTTCTCACACCCTTCAATTATTAATATTATGTTTTTGTATTTTCACGACCTTTTAATCTTTTAATTAATTTTAAATATTCATCTGGTTGATTTACACCTATTTACACAACTTTATATTTGTTTTATTTTTATTTTGTTTACTGTATATTCATTGAAATAAAGAATTGTTAGACAAAAAAAATGAAATTAAATTTTTAATGTTTTAAAAATTATTATTTTAATTAGTAAATTAAACTACTATTCTCTTATAGTTTTTCCGACTTATACTAACATTTTAGCTTTTTATAATTGTATACAAATCTTTTATTTGTTTTTAAAAAATTTGCACTGTTTTTATATCTGATTATCAGTTTGAAATTGATAAAAATAAATCATCTATTTTTTTTATTATATTATGTTATTTTATTTTCTAAAAAAAAAGAAACCTCAAAGATTCTAAAGCTTTATACAAAGTAAAACCTACTTTTTAGTATATAAATAGTAAAAAGACAAATACTACATCCAGTAATGTTTATAAAGCATTCAAATGGTAATATGTTCATTTACTATTTAATATTTTTTATTCAACTATTTATTAATAGTATAATTAAAAAAGCAGAAAAAATATTTTTATAAAATTGAAACATAATGCAACATTTGATTATGTCTTTAAAAAAACAGTAATGTATTTAATGAAAATGTAAAGTGCCTAAAAAAATTCACCTCCTTTGCTAATCTTACTTCTGTCAATTCCCCCTTTAAATCGGCGTGTAAATAAAGTTTTCAGATCATGTCTAAAGAATACTATTGAAGAGATATTTCAAAGAAGAAAACTAAAGAAAGTTAGGTTTTCGTGATAAAAAAAATCAACCCATGAACGGTAACAACGAATTTGAACACGTAGGAAAAAAAGAACTCTCATCGTTTAGCTGAAGCGCCGAGTCCACGGCAAAGGCTGACGACGACAATTTCTGTAACCTGGCAACGATTTTGCGGCCGGACAGGAATAAGAAGAGGAGAAAGTGGAAGGAGGTCGTAGTTGGGATAGGCACATGGTTTGGTGTAATGGAAGGTGATAGAGACCCATGACAGAGGTTGAATTGAGAATCTGAACAAGAAAGAGAGGAGAGGGTTATTTCAGGAAAGATTTTTTAATTAAAAAACTGCATGTGGCGTCTACGTGGATAATAAATAAGTTTTATTTTGTGATAAAATAAAATAAAATTAACGCACCTACGTAACTTAAAATTTTGATGTCTTTGTATTATAATTTTTTGGTTCAATTATATTTGGTTACATTTCTCTGAGTTTCCGGAGTGAAGGGGTTGCTGGATCTATTTGGTTGATGAAGAATGAGAAATGAGAAGTGAAGAGTAGAGATTAGAGATGGAAGAAGAAAAAGCAGCGGCGTACTACGACGAGTTGACCCGCAAGGGCGAGGGAGCCGCTAGGTTTAAACAAGGTCTCGGTTTTTCCACTTCCGCATCAAACGACGACGTTCCCAAACCTGGCTCTGCCCTCGCCTCCTCCTCCTCCTTCCTCTCCAAATTCGTCAAAGCCTCCTCCACCTCTTCCCACTCCGACAAGGAACCGCAAGTCAATGCCTCCTCCGCCCCTTCCGAGTCCCAGAAGCAAGCGCAACTGCAATCCATTCACGACAAGCTCAAGAAGAAGCCCTCTTCCGAGCCTAGGGTTTCGAGCAGAGAGAGGGAGAGGGATAGAGATAGAAGTAGAAGACGAAGCAGGAGCAGAGACAGGTACAGGGAATCGCGGAGGCGGAGCAGGAGTAGAGACAGATATAGGTATAGAGATTTCGGCGGGGATAGGGATAGGGATAGGGAGAGAGGGAGACGGAGGAGTAGAAGCGTTTCTCCTCGCAGACAACGTAGGTTGGAGAAGGACGCGGATGATAGAGGGAGGAGTGAAGCCAGAAAGGGGAAGAGTGCTGCGACTGATTTTTCCAACCTAATTGAAGGTTATGACCGTATGGTACGTTCAACTGTTCTAATTTCATTGTTGTGTTTCTCTCACGCTTTGGGCAGATGAAGATGTTGCTTCCAATTTCTAGAAACACTTTTTTCTAAGCTCTATCTACTATTTGCTGGAATTTGCGTGTGATGATTCATGGGCATCTTTTTTTGCTCTTGTCTACAGTCATCTGCTGAAAGAGTCAAAGCAAAGATGAAGCTTCAGCTCTCTGAAACTGGTAAGCTAATAGATCTTCCGTGCAGAAATTGTTCATACGTCATAAATACATTTTCGCCATATGTTTTGAAATAAATTGTTTTTCTTGCTGTATCTAAAACTGATCTTAGCACCACTGATATTAAATATTCTGAAGATCTTTTCTATTGTCGACTAGTTTGAGAATATTCTTTAGAAATTGTCATGTTAATCTACATGAAAATAGTGTTTTGGCACGAATGGTTGCCTTGCCTTCTGTGGTCTTCTTGCAGTATATGATCATTTGATGTTAAAAACTCGTTAAGGTTGATGTTAGAAACTAGTTAAGGTTGCTACTACCTAGTGATATATATGAATAAGGCTAGCTATTACAAACCAAAACTTTTATATTTATTATAAATATTTGTTTTCTTTCTTGCCAAATGAGATGGTTTATCCACGTAATAATAGTTTCTTTTCTGACATACTCAATACTTTTAAATGTAGCTGCACATGATTCAGAAAAGGGGGTAGGCTGGGAGCGGTTCGAGTTTAACAAGGATGCCCCTCTTGATGATGAAGAAGTTGAAGGTCAGACTTGTTTCTTAACATATTTGTGGGATTTCTTTCTGTCGTTTACCTATGAATGCTTCAATTTAATCCTCTTTGTTTTTAATTCCTTTTTGGAGCTATAAGTACAATTTGCCTTGATTGCTGGTTGTTCCCCATTCTTGGTAAAAGTCACTAAAACTAGAAGATTCTTACATTGGTCATTTCTATTAAGACATTTTACGGGTCTCCCAGTGTGCTTCTCCTGTTAATCTAGTTAACATTTTCTGCATCTTGTTATTGGAAATTTAAGTAATACCTTTCTCAATATTGAGTACTTATTTGTATGTTTCTCAGTTATTTATTTTTGTTTTTAAGAGTTTCTGCTTTTCTGTCGTTGAATGGTGGTCTTTTCAGCTATATACGCTTGTAATAACAGTTAGTAGTGATGGATTTTTGTTGAACTTAAAACTGATAGTACACGCCCTCCATCTGCAGTCGCCGAAGATGATGCATCCTTAGTCAAGCACATCGGCCAAAGTTTCAGATATTCTGCAGTTGAGGTATCTTCCTCATCTCTTATGTTTGAATGGTCAATTTGATTCCTTGTTGATGTACATGCCTGATCAATGTTTGGAAAACTGAATCTCATATTGTTACGTAGGCAAGGAGGGAGGAACAAATACAAGCTGCCCATGAGGAAGCTATGTTTGGTGCTACAGCACTTCCACCTCCCATCAGTACAGATAGTGAGCCTGAAAGGGAGAACGAGGAAGAGGTTCATAAAAAAGATCTGGTTACAAGCCTCTTAAGTGAAACAGTAAGCATTTTTCTATGTGACAAGCATATGGATAAGCACAACAAATCATTCAAGTAGTAACCCTTTTATATTTGGTTTCAGGTGCTGGCCAAGCAAAAGGGATCCTGGCGTGATCGGGTTCGGCAGGCTTAGAATTTGCACCTTAAAAATTGATTTGACAACAGAAAAGCTGGCCAAAATGTCACATGGAGTTGGGCTTTAACCATGTCATATATTTCCATTTTGCAGCTGGAATTACTGTGCATTTTTATTTTTTTTTGGTTTCTATATGGTTTGAGGTGGCTTTAACCGATCATTCTATTTATACCGGTTCCCATGCAACTGCGACTAGTGCTGAGGTGGGCTGTGTGTTGCCGCTTATAATTTCAAATGGGGAAGCGGGTTGTGTGATGTTCTGTGCAATGCCAGTTTCGTATTGCAATATTTAGAGGGAAAGCTTGCAAATAGAACAATGTTATATACACAGACGCTTTATCTCTGATCTCATCCGCAAAGTTTTCACCATTTGATTACAGTGGGGATCAGCTTATTTTCTGTACATTTCTAATAACCCACATAGATGAGAGATGAAGTAACTTTATGGGATGTGTATAAGCATTATCCTTGCAAATACGTGAAAGTTTCGTTCAAATTTTAGTAAAATAACTTCATTTAAAACCGTTTTATTGGCCTATTGCAGTAGTGAAGAATCCCGTGATGAGATGAAATCCTATCCTGAATGTAAAAAAAACTACGAAGTTGATAAAGTTATAGTCTAATTAACATAAGTGAGTGGGGACAAAGTCTTTACATTTACAGATTTAACTATTTTACTATGAATAAAAGTTAAAAGAAAAAAATCTATCATCATTTGAATTATTTCTGAAATAGTCGTTGATATCATTTTTATTTTTACTGTACTTTATATATTTGCTCAGTTTAAAGAAGTTAAATTCATCATATGTATTGTTAAACATGAGATTAAATAAAGGATGCGTGTATGTTTGAAATTTTGGAGAAGAAAAAATGTATATAATAACTTAAATGATACAGTCGTTTACATACGCAATTTTCGGTTCTTGTTGTTTTGTACAAGTTTGTATTTGTTGTTACCTGGGATTCGCAAGTGCACATCCGAGCTCCTTTTGGTCGGCCCATTAGGTGTAGACTGAATAGGAATTGAAAGCGAAAAGTACGTGAAATGAAAGCGAAAAGTAGAATACTAATGAATAAAATAAAATACTAAAACTGTTTACGTAAAGATAGGATTTGAGATATTTTATTTTTATTTGTTAGAGGATATTTTCAGATATTTCTCAAGTATTTGGGATAAGTTAGATATCTGGATATATAGCATGTTGTCCAGATACATAAATATTATCGAAATATTTGATTTAAGTTATCGGTAATTATGATGTTTAGCCGATTTAGGGCATATTAGGTACAATATTAAACCGATTAAAAAATATTTATTTTTAAAACTATTTTCCTAAAATTGAAACACGTTTTTCCTGGTCTAAAATCAACCAATTTTCCAATAAAAATATTTTAAACTTTTATTAAATACATTTATGATGTTAGCCGTTTTAGGACATGTTAGCTACAGTATTAAATTAATTAAAAAATATTTATTTTGAAAATTATTTTCCTAAAATTGAAACACGTTCTTCCTGATCTAAAATCAACCAAATTTTCCAGTAAAAATATTTTAAAATTTTATTAAACGCATTTTTCTCCATACAAAAAATTGTTATTGCGAACAAGGTTTTGAATAACATGTTTTCCTCATTTTCAAATGCAACCTTCTCGTATATTTCATCATCACCATAAATTGTCTTGGATAAATATTCACGTACACAATTATATAGTGACAAAATTCAGGGGACCATTTTCACTAAATGTCCCATAGCCATAATTACTCAAACTTTTATAATTTCTTTTCCTCCCTCGATGACATTACTCACTCTTTTTGTCTTACTTCTCATTTATCCTTAAAGTATACAAGTCGTGAATTAGAGTTTGATTAGAAGAATAAGAAAAAACGTTTGAGAAGGATTCTTAATTACGTTCATCAAAATCTATCCCATAATAACTATTATTTTAAAAAATTGACATGATATAAAGATGTAAATATAGAAGAAGAAAAAACTTGGTTCATAAGAAAAATTCCATTATACCTGACAACTGAGACATGTTACGACTACAGCGTAACAGGAAAATAATATATAACATTTAAAGCAGATATTTGAATTTAATGAAAAGTCTCAGAGCGAGGAAAATTAAATAAATATAAATATTAGCAGGAAACGTAAATAAATAGCTAAATATACCAGTAGCCAAAGTAATGTGAAATGAAATCTTAAGCAAATTGTTTTGCTACAAAACTGAAGCATGGATGGTATAACTATGGGCAGAATACCATGTCATTGAGACCACGGTCGCCACCAATTGGGCATCCTTTCTTGTACCCAAAGTTAAGCGCATGCCAACAAAATCAATAAATAAATCAATTTTCCGACGTTGTAACAGTTTCGCACAAAATCTGTGCTCCAACACTTTTCTTACCCACTGTCTTCGTCCATTGCAAACTTGAAATTTGCGACCTGTACAACTTTTGCTCTCTCTTTCATTTGTAACTCTATGGCGAATCGATGGCTTAGGCCCGAGGTACGTTCCCTGTTGATAATTCATCATTTTTCATGTCTCTTGGTTTGTGTCTTTTACCTTTTTCTTTACAGTTATATCATATATGGTTTCATCTGAGTGTTATTTGCATCCATGCTTATGAAAGTTGTTGATTTGTTGGTAGGTATACCCATTGTTTGCTGCTGTTGGAACTGTTGTTGGGATATGTGGTTTGCAGTTGGTTCGCAATATCTGCATCAACCCTGATGTCAGGTCTCTCTGTCTCTCTGCACTCCTGTGATAACTTTTCATCTTTATGGTTTTTTGGTAATCAAAAACCAGTGATATCGTAAAAAAATTTCTTTTTCTTTGGACTAGAGTCACTACCAGCCATTGGGGTTTTTAAGAATATGATATTAGCAGTTTCAATAATAATAATAATAATAAAAGATACTTGTTGTTTTGACACTTGTCATTCTCACTGATTGAGAATGTAAAAGGTTATGGATTGTTTGAAAGTATTATCCTAGTTATTCAGGAGTAGGCGACGTTGATCTTAGTGCTGTTTCTCTTACAACAAACGTTACAAATTTGATTTTGCATCATGTTTAGTGTTGTAATAAGCATGTCTGTGTTTGAGAAATTTGTTTGCATGCATGTTCTTCCCCTGAAATGAAAATGAAATAGGGTGAGCAAGGAAAAGAGAAGCGCAGGAGTGCTGGAGAACTCTGCAGAGGGAGAAAGGTACGCGGAGCATGTTCTGAGGAAGTTTGTGCGCAACAAAGAGCCACAAATTATGCCCTCCATCAACAGTTTCTTCGCTGACAACGATCGCAATTAACTTTAAATCAGCACAAAGGCAATTTCAGAACTAAACATTACTCTTCTCTTAATATTAACTAATAAAAGTTTTTTGTGCTTTCAAATAAAAAGGTTATTTATTTCTGGGACTAAACCACTTGTGGGGTTGTACCATGTATCAAATAAAACAGTTACAGATGATATTACCAAAACAAAAACCAGTGTTGTGCAGAATATATGGCAAAACTCAACAGCATAAAGTTTTGCTCCCATAGAATCATGTTATTATACATTATCTAACCATCTATTAGAATTATGATTATATGCAATTGGTTTGTGTAGAAATAATTTAATACGATTATTCTTCAAGTGATAGATAATTTAAGATGCAATGATTTTCAGAAACAATTAACACGTGGATTATTTTATGAAATAATTAAATGTTTTTATTTATTTATCAATGAAATATTTAAATTAATGACTCACAATAGTCCTCTTTTAATGGATCAGTTATTTAAAATGACTAATTAATTTAAGTTATAATTTATTGATGTAATGGGGATAATTTTGTATAATTTTATGTACGGAAATATTTAATAGTGTTTCTATAAACATTTAAAAAGGATTTTTTTTATAATAAATGTATTTAACAATAGAGATGAAATAAAATATGAAATTTCCTCATTTATTTATAGAAATTGCTATTCACCGAAATTGTTTAATATGACATTCAACTTTGTAAATAATTACATAACAAAATATTTTTGAAAACAATTCAATTGAGAAGGGGAATAAGCTTAATCCAGTTAATTTTGGAGTTGTATATAGTTTAAGATTTAATGACTCTAATGTGAGAAATAAATAAATTTACAAATGAGTTTAATAGACTTTTTTTCATAAATAATTTTAAATATCAATTTTATAAAATAAAGAAAAATATTAGTACAATTTCAATTAACTTAGAACATGTTCTACTAATCTAGAGGTGTTTCATTCTCTATGTTTCTAGGTCACAACCCACTTATGATATTGAATGGGGAGATAAGTTTGTTACTCATATTATACCTAGAACACTTCACACTCTTCCAAAATATACAGTTTTTATTTAATCCTCTCTCCTCTTTTTTTTTTTTATTCTGGATTTATTTACTCTTTTTAGAGTTATTTACTAATTTTTGAGTTCCTAAAAAAATCCAAGAAGTTTCTGTTTTATCTGCGGAGTATTGCAAAAGTCTCTTAAAATAAAATAGAATTTTTCCAATTTTTTCGAGGAACTCAAAAACTAGCCAATAGATAAAAAAAAGTAAATAAACCCAGAATAAAAAAAAAAAGCAGAGGAGAGATGATTAAATAAAAATTGTGTATTATAGAAAAGTGTGAAGTGATATATTTATAGGTGTAATATAAATAACAAACTTATCTCCCTATTCAACATCACAACATCATGGGTGATTATGCCGCCTTAGAAACATAGGGAGTGAAACATCTCTAAGTTAGTAAAACATGTTTTTGGTCAGTGGAACACGTTGTAAGTTTTACAATATTGTTATTTTATAACAATCTCCTACCTATTGCAAAACAAGAAAAAAATAAATGAATAAAAGAATTAATGTAATATTTTGGTAGACTAAGAAAAAAAAACACATCATTTATTAATTACATTACACTCATGGATTAACAATGAAAACTCCATCACGAACTAATTTTATTTTTTTCTAATAAATTATCGAACATATTTTGTTGTTAATTACTTTTATATTTTTCATAAATTAAAAAGTAGAAAAAATGTTTCTTATTTATTTCATTTTACTAATGGATTAATAACGAAAAAGTTTTGCTGCTAATTAATTTCATATTTCTAGTCAATTAAAGATGAAAAAAACTTGGCTCTAATTAAGTTCATATTTTTCAGGAATTAGCGGATGAAACAGTTTGTTAATAATTAATTTCATTTTTTTTCTAATAGATTAAGGATAAAAATAATCGTTGATTACTTAATATTTCAAATGGATTACCAACAAGTGAATTTCGTCACTAATTTATGACATATTTTTGTTGGATCAGCCACGAAAAAACTTCAGCGCTAATAAATTTCATTTATATAGGATTAGCACAAATAATTTATCGTTAACAAAATTCATATATCTAACAAATAATTTCGTAGTTAATTAATTTTATTTTTCTCACATGTTAACAGCGAAAAATTGTATCAAGAATTTATTTTATTTTAAAAATATATTTATTCATTTAAATTTTCAAGTGCGTTTTCCTATTGGTAAAAGAAAACGAAAGTCACAAAACTACGAAACGAAGGTGAATTTCTGGTCAACAAATTTGCGTATGGTTTCGCGAAAAACACAAAACAATTCGTTATACAATCAAGACAAGAATGAACGAATGAATCACCTGGCGTGGAATGGCAACGGAACAATCTCCGACAGCGGCGTTGGTGCCAGCAACGGTGACGGTGAGTTCCGGCAGAGTGGACACGTGGCATTCATCCACAGCAATAACTATTCTTTTCATTGTAATTCTTGTTTTTATATATAATTATGCCAATTGATAAAAACACAAATGAAATCATTTCATTTGTAATAGAATGTTTGCTTGTTAAGAAGTTTTTTAACCAATTTTGGGAACAACAAACTCAGATTTAATTATTGGTATTGCAATGATTGTTTATCAGACGAATTTATATGTAATTGCATCATTTTGACTATGAATAAATAATTATTAATAAATTTTATTTCATCTAAAAGCATAGATTCAGTTACCATCACTTTCCTATATTCAATGACATATTTTATAAATATATTAAGGTATTGAGTATACTTATCTACTACATAAACAATATCATATCTAAAAGAGACTATTAAATACAATAAACTCTTAATTATATATGAGTACTAAAATTAAAAGATTAAGTATCTTCTATTTTTCTTTAATTTAGAGTTAAAATTATAAGGAGTCCTTCTAATTTAAAATCATAATATCCAAATTTTGTAAGAAGTTTTTCTTAAATCCCAAAATCATGCGTATTTTCATTTCAAATTTTGATTAAAAAAGTAAATTTATTCTAGAACCAATGTCAATACATATACACCAATTATTAATATCTTATCCGTGTATAAAAATATAATGAGATATTCCTCGCTTTAAAATTTATAATACACATATCTAATACACTTATCTATCAACATCATTAATTAAAAAATTAGAACATTGTTAACTTTTCATGCACTATTAGTGAAGTGACATCAACCAATGCGTACCTTCCACAGAAAGGGATCTTAGCCATAGTGGTGTTTTGCTTCAGCTGATCAAAAGCACCAGCTTGGAACGTATTCGCACACACCAGGGCGGGCTTTCCAACCTTTCTTTTGATCATAATAAGCATTTTTCGTACACGTCGTCGTTTTACCAGATCCTTGCAAGTCGACGATCATGACAATGTTAGGTTTGGCCTTTTTGGGAGTGAACGAGGGTTTCCCGGGATAAAGAATTTTGCAGAGCTCATCGAATATGACCTGCTAGATAATTCGGCGCTTGTTGTGGCCGGCAGCGGTCGAACGTGGTGCAAGAAAACCCTAATTCGACAAAACCAGATCGGTGATCGGAGAAAGAATCTGACGGTGAGCGAAGATGGTTCTCGCGTAGTTAGGTGGATTTCGCGTGCTGAGCAACGTGACCATCGACGGATTATTCCTTTAAGCACAGTGATTTTACATGTATCTGGACTTGCGCATTATTCAGTGATAAGTTATCAAGAATTTGCGCAATATTTGGGGATAAGTTATTAAGAATAAAGAATAATGATTTTACACGTGTTAGAAATCAAGTTTTGTTGATGTATCAGTCAGTTTTTTCAACATAAACTAGTCAGCCCTAATGTATCCCATGAATATAGATAATGAATAATTATGAAACGCAACTAATAGGTAAAATTACTCTATAATCCACCAAGAAATTTAAAAATAATCACAGAAAAAATCATTTACTTTTAAAAATATTTCAAATAATTGATTATTAATTTAAAATAATCAATTCGATAATTATGTGTAATGTGACATTCATATAAGTAATAAAAATAGTTTAATAGAACATTTATTTATGAATGCCAATTAAAATTTTATTTATAAAAAAATATCTTAATTATTAAATTTTAAAAAATGAAAATTGAAGATCAAAGATAAATTTTTAACTCTTTTTAATCAATAAATTATTTCTCTATTTTTAATCCATAAATAAAAGATAAGTATTTAAAATACAAAAAAGTTTATTTTTTTTATTAAATGCAAATAAATCCGTTGATTATAGTTAGATCTTAGCCCTGTTTGTTTGAAGCTCGATTTGCGACGAAATACTGTTCACGAAGACGAAACACGAGATTCACCCACGTTTGGTTGAAGCGATTTGCGACGAAATGCAGGCGAGGAAAAGGGGAGATGAGAGAGAGAGTTTCTTCGCTGAGGTGCGAAGAAAATAGATGAAAGTAATGAAAAGTCGTTGTTACCCTGCAATATATGATAGCGGTTAAATCTTAACCGCTATTATAATAACGACTTGTAATAGCGGTTAAAACTTAACCGCTATTATATATCACTTCTAATAGCGGTTAAAACATAACCGCTTATTATATATCACTTCTAATAGCGGTTAAATTTTAAACGCTATTATATATCACTTAAGATAGCGCTTACAGAGGAACCGCTATTATATCCTCCAATATTTCGCTCGAGCGAGACATAGTCGCTCAAGCGAAACACAACCCGAGACCGAAGAAATTAAAATATGGTTGTATATGATAGCGGTTCCACTGGAACCGCTAGCTAATATACACTTTAGATAGCTGATTCTGAGAGGAACCACTATTATATCCTCCGATTATGATCGATCATTACCTAAATCTAATCGATCAGAATCATATTTCGCTCGAGCGAGATATAGTCGCTCAAGCGAAACACAACCCGAGACTCGAAGAAATTAAAATTTTGGTTGTATATGATAGCGGTTCCACTGGAACCGCTATCTAATATACACTTTAGATAAGCGATTCTGAGAACCGCTATTATATCCTCCAGTTATGATCGATCATTTCAAATTATGATCGATCAGTATCGTTTTCATCTCGAGCGAGATATAGTCGCTCGAGCGAAATGCAACCGAGACCGAATCTTAAAATATTTTTTTGAATATTATGTTTTTAAATTTGCTATTAGAGAAAACCTTTCGAATTCAAAATGTTAAATACTTTTAAATATTAAAATTAACTTTATCAAAAATTAGGAAAACAAAATTTATCCAAAAGAGTTCAAAAATGTATAAGAGTATTCTCAATTTTGAGTTTAATTATATTGTTCATTCTCAAAGTAGAAATTTATATTGTAGTTATTTAATTTACATTTTGTGATCTTCTTAAAATTAGCATCAATAACATTAGACTTTACATTTGATTCATACCTAACTAATTATAGATTAAAAGGAAAGTGGTATAACCATGCATTTTACTTTTCTATTTACCTTATTCTTTTAATTATTTTATATAATAATAATCAAAATATTCACACTGAATATGGGCATTTTCCAAAATAATATTATTGTATTATTGTTAAAATTAGCATCAATAACATTACACTTGATCTTCTTAATTATATTGTTCATTCTCAAATTAGAAAATTATATTGTAATTATCTTCAATTTATTAAAAGTGTAATTAAATCTCTATTTTCTTAATTTTTTTTGTTTCAAACTTCTCAATGCTACATTTTTGTAACTTCTATCATTATATTATTATCCTCATCTCCTCCCATGTTCTACTTTATCTTTACAATAGTTAATATTCTTAAATAATCTATATTTTTAATTATAATTTTTTAATATATATTTCGAAATTAATCAATTCTAAGCTATTATTTGAAAAACTAATCAATTCTAATCAATAATTTAGAAAAATAATCGATTAGAATTAATTATTTGAAAAAATTATGAAATATGATCGATCATTTCAAAAATCTAATCGATCAGAATCATATTTCGTCTCGAGCGAGATATAGTCGCTCAAGCGAAACACAACCCGAGACTCAAGAAATTAAAATATGGTTGTATATGATAGCGGTTCTACTTGGAACCGCTATCTAATATACACTTTAGATAGCGATTCTGAGGAACCGCTATTATATCCTCCGATTATGATCGATCATTTCAACTTATGATCGATCAGGATCATATTTCGCTCGAGCGAGATATAGTCGCTCGAGCGAAATACGGCTTATGAGCTCACGCTTTGAGAGTTGTTGTAGCTTACCTAAGCTCAGCTTTTTCGGTTCAATCCAATCGCAGTGGGATTAGAGAGCAAGTCGTTCAAAGTTTGTTTTAATCTGTTGAAATAGCAGTTATAATCTGTTAAAAGTCCTTTCAACCCATTAATGCGTTCTTGTTCTTTAACGGAATTGTTTTAGCCGATACGACCAAGTTTTTATCAGTTAAAACTTTTTACAAATATTTTCTAAGAGTGATTTAATCGATTGATTCGCGGTTTAATCGATTGATTCAGATTTAAAACTTTCTTATAACACTTTTCAAGTTATTTTAAGCGATACAAAGAAGTTTTAATCGATTAAAACCACTGCACGAAATTTTTCTAAGTCATTTTAATCGATTAAAATGCGTTTTAATCGATTGAAATGCGTTTTGACTTTATCTTTGACTTCATCAAATCATCGAGATCTTTGCTTAGTCGCTCGAGCGAGATCAGTTTAGCTCAAGCGAAAAACAACTCGAGGATGAAAATTATGTGCAGTGTCTTCGCTCGAGCGAGTTTACTGATCGCTCAAGCGAAATATAACTTGTAATAGCGGTTTTAGGTGAACCGCTATCTAAAGTGTCGAGGTTTTGGAAGCTGTGATCGATCATTTTGGCAAAATAATCGATCATTTGAAAACTTTAGGTAGCGGTTAACATATAACCGCTATCACAGGTTACTTTTAAAAGCGGTTGTCTTTGTAACCGCTCTTAAAAGTGTATATATAATAGCGGTCCAATTTAACCGCTATCTTATATATATTTGTATTAGCGGTTATATTTATAATCATTTGAACCTTATTTGATACAAAGGGTAAAATGGTAATTTTCTTAAATAATAAACATAAAATTATAATTTTTATATCTCATATCAATCAAATCATTCACAATTTCCCATAAACTTTCCTTTCACTTTTCAATCATCTCCATTTCTCTTCAAATCCCTCCTTTTCCACTCTCTCATTTCCACTCTCTCAAATCACTCCATCCAAACAAAGCCTTAGAGATGAGTAGTTGCTTAGTTGGTTGAAGAGTCCTATAAATGATTAAAATTAATAAAAAAAATTGAACTTAATTTGATTACATTGAAAAATACAAATTAATTTAGAAAAAATCCTCTCCATTAGTTTAAAAATTCTGAATTGCAACAAATAAATATGTTTAAACTGGACTGTAAATTATATAATTGAAAACTATGCTTTAAAATAAAATGTTCATTGACCATAATTTCAAACATTTTAGATAGTTAAAGTCACTCAAGAAAGTTTAGCTTAATCCAGTTTATTGAAATTGTGATGCAATTAAGATCGGAAAGGAAGGGCGTGGTTGGGGGCAAAGAATGAATTGCAGTTGTTGATAAAGAAGTTCCCGCTTAATTGTTTGTTTTTGTTCAAAAACCAAAACAACATCCCTCCCACTCCCCTTTCAGATCCAATTTTCAAAAATTTTGCCCCGCCAATAAACCCTATTCTTCCCTCTCTCTCTTTTTTATTTAACGGTCTTATCTGTCCCTCTCTCTCTTCCCTCTCCTTCTCCCACATTTCCATGGCTTCTTCCGATCCCATCACTTCCAAACACTACGCTTATAACAGAAAACAGAAGTCCTTGGGACTTTTATGCACCAAGTACTTCTTCTCTTCTTCCTCTCCTATTTTTTTCAATTCAATTAAACTCATTGCTAATTCGTTTTCTCTCTTTTTTTCCATCGCAGTTTCTTGAGTCTCTATAACAGAGACACCGTGCACTTAATTGGCCTCGATGACGCGGCCACTCGTTTAGGTAAATACGCTTCTCTTCTCACTCTGTCTTATATTTTTGGATCTAATATTGTTTTTCCTCAGGAGTTGAGAGAAGACGGATCTACGACATTGTTAACGTTCTCGAGAGTATTGGGGTCCGTAAACTTTTCTTTATTTTATTTTATCTTGCACTTTTTATTTTTATTTTTACACTTTTTACCTCAATTTATTTGATTCCATCCGTTCGTGCTTAGGTTCTCTCAAGGAAAGCGAAAAATCAGTATACCTGGAAAGGTTTTGCTGCAATTCCTCTCACTCTTCGGGAGCTCAAAGTAATTCTAATTTGTGTCAGCTTATGATTTACACGTTTCGTAATTAGGTGTTAATTTAGCTTTTCATGGTTTCGTAGGAAGATGGTCTGAAAGAGAGTTCCAATTCCTTGCGCTGTTCCGCCAACGACGACAACGATAAAGTGAGTTTTGCCCCAATACTGGAACTTGATGTTTTTTTTTTATTCTACTTAAATATATGTTTTTAGGATAATAAGTGGATTAATTAGTGCCAGCGAATAATTTAACGTTGACTTGCAATGTAGGTGTCGGATGACGAAGATGATGAAGAAACACAGTCCAATCCCGCCACTGGAAGTCAAAACGACAAGTTGAACCCTAACTCTACTCAACCCAGACCACTAAAAAATGGTAATTATATTCTAAACAAAAAGAATTAAGCTTTATCATTGGATGTGGGAGATGCCTCATTGTATATCCTTATACTAATAAAAAATATCCTCTAACTCTGATTGAGATATTATGTGTTTGCTTCAAATTATTTTCTAGCAATGATTATTTTATTTTTATATTTTCTAAATTTTAGACATTGTCTTTAACACTTAGTGAGGTTTGAATGTTTTTTTGCTTTTTCTCTTATTGGGAATTTGCATAAGCACAGCAATGATAGACTGTTAGGAATTACTATTGCTCATGGTTTGATGCTTCTACACCATTTTGCAGAAAATCGAAGGGAAAAATCTTTGGCTCTGCTAACCCAGAATTTTGTCAAGCTCTTTGTCTGCTCTAATGTGAGGGTTACCATAACTATCTTGGATGTTCCGATTTGATGTATCCTTTAATTGGCCGTGTAGCAAAATGTGTTAAGTTGTTCAAAATTAACAATGTTGACTCTTCTTTGCAGGTGGAATTGATCTCCCTTGATGAGGCTGCAAAATTGTTGCTTGGAGATGCTCATAACACTTCAATTATGAGAAGTAAGAGTACGTTTTATTCATTAAAAAATAGTACTGTACATGATTATAACTATTTCTTGGTTGATTTTAAAAATATCACAAGGCGACGCATGAAAAATATCGATCACATAAGCTCAAGTTTTTGATAATTGGATAAACCATGGACACTTTCATGTTCGTCTCCTTGTACTATATTTTAAGGTATATTTAAACGCATGAGTTGAAGACTTCTGACATTTTTTCACTTACACTCTGATTTGGCCTTGCAGCAAAAGTTAGACGCCTATATGACATCGCAAATGTGCTTTCCTCCATGAATCTTATTGAGAAGGTGATTTTCGCCATTCTTTTATATATCCTCGTATTTGTGTCGATCTGTTTAATTAAGTATGTTAACTTTGTCCTCAGCTTACGATATTTTACAACTTGACAGACCCATACTTCAGATACGAGAAAACCAGCATTCAGATGGCTGGGTCCTGAAGGGAAGACATGGAATGAGTCAATTCACAAATCAAGTCTGTACGACTCTAGGAAAAGGGCGTTTGGAAGTGATATCACAAACATAAGTTTTGAGAGGAATAAGGTGGAATTATTCACAAATGGGGACTTAAATTCGAATCTTAAGAAGCCAAGAATGGAAAATGATAGTGGGCTGGGTCGGACAGATGAAAACAATTCAAAACAAGGCACAAAACAAACTTCTAAGAGCTATCAGTTTGGTCCATTCGCTCCGGTGTGCGTGCCCAAGATTGGAGCCTCTGGGAATAATATTGTGAAGCAGGTGCATGACTGGGACAGTCTAGCAACGGCACATAGTCCTCAGTATCAAAACGAAGGTAATAAATAATTTTTACCTTTCATAGTCAGATATAAAATTAGGTTTAAATACGTCTTTTGCATGGTAAATTTAGATATATATTTGTTTGTTGGTTTATTAAATTTAAAATTGATTATTTGTTTAATACAGGTGAGTGAAAGTCTTACGTTAAAATGGTGGATTTGGTACAGTCCGACTTATTTGTATTAACAAAGTAAAAAAATTGATAACATGAACTATATAAATTTTTATTAAATTTCGTCTTAAATTAATGGATCAATTTTAGTTTAATTAAAAATTTGAAAAATTATTAATGTATTTATATTAAAATAATTAATTAAAAATATTTTAAATTATATTAATAAAAATAATTTTTTATTTTATATATAAATAATTTAATATATACATTTTAAGAAAATAAATCTATTTTGTATAAGTTAAAAATTTTATTATTATTATTTTAGCAATTTACTGATCTTAAATAAATAAATATTAAAAATTTATTTTATATTTATTTTTAGTATAAATGAATTTTTTTATTAATTTATATTATATATATATATATATATATATATATATATATATATATATGCTTTGGTTGTTTAAAAAATCTTGTTAAAATTAATTTGATTCGGTTCGGATGAAGTTGAGCTTGAATAATTGGTTCATAAGTATCGTGTTTATTTGATTCAATATTTTATTATTTTGTTTATTAATTTTTTAAAAATTATATAAAAGTTTAGTTTGATATGATACAGCAGTGGATTTAAGTGGATCATAAAAGATAGTCTAAAAAAATTTGATACAAATTGAAGAAATACATTTTCTATCTTTAAACTATTTCACTTGATGACAACTTTATGATTAGATTTGCGTGCATTTTTTTGTTGTTGTTTTGTGAGGACTCGGTCAGCTTCCTCGAACCGTTTGTCTTACGCAAAAATTCATTTTTAAAATAACGACATGTAAGAACTGTGTTGAAGATGCTCTAAGCCTCATTTAACTAGCATCTATTATTCAGTAGCTTGATTATGGATATGTTGATTGAAAACCAACCAATTTGATGTCCGTTTTACTTTTGGTTCAGCTTTGAGAGATCTTTTTTCCCATTACATGGAGGCATGGAAATCGTGGTACTCTGAAATTGCTGCGAAGAGGCCATTACAAATTTTGTAACTTAAGTCTGCTGAAGTGAAACACACAGTATAACTTTCCTCACAAAAAAAAATCTATTGTAGTGTATGCATTTCTTTGATGCACACTCAGAGCTTCCGTTTCGGCTTTTTCAACCGTGCTTGACCAACATCAGAGCTTAGGCAGTTCTTCCAAATTATTTATCACATTCGTTTGTTGTATAGTTTCAACCCTTCATGTAATGAAGCGAGATCTTGTGAGCTTTCCTTGTCCTAAATCTGCTAATTTCAGCAAGATAAAATTTATGAGCTGTTTCAAAAGGTTGCGATTTTTTAAGATAATTCTATGCATCCCAAGGCTAATGCAAGAGTGCGAATTGTAAGTTTATTTGGGCGTGTTGATGGAGAACGTGACATAATCATAAATTATTTTCACTTTTCTATATCCTTTTGATATACATGTTACAGGTAAAATGATATTTTTTTTAATGTCTTTTGATCATATATCAGTATTATGTAATATAATAAAAAATTGTTAACATTTTGTGCAAGGGTGTTAAAAATTTATAATTTAAATTGAATTGGATTTCTTTTTATTATATTTGTTTAGATTATGATTTCCATAAATTTAGATTAATTTAACATATAGATTTATTGATAAGTCTTTTTATGAAATAATATTTTTTTTAATTAAATTTAAAATAATATTATTTTATTATAAAATATATATTAAAAATTAATTTTGATAAGAAATTTATTTATTTTAAAAATAAGTACAAGATGTTTCTAAAATTTATTTATTCAATGATTTAATAATTAAGATGAATTATTATTTTAAATTTATAAATTATTATAATAATGAAAAATAAATTTTTAATTTTTAATATTACATAAAAAATTTATAATTTATATATAAAATTATTATATTTGAAATAAAAATTAATTTTATTATATATTCAAAATTTATTTATTACACATATTTATATAATTTAGTATGCATTTTATTATCAAATTTTAATTGTCAGTTATAATTTTCTTTATCTATTAAAGCATTAAAGATCATAACACGTACATGGAAATAAAAAATGTTATATTTTTCTTATGATTTTTATATATAATTTTAATTAAAAACTATAATAAAATATTTTCGAAAAATTTAAAAATAAAACAAAACTTTCATGGTATATTAGATGTTGTTTTTTCAATTACTTAGATATATATATATATATATATATATATATATATATATATATATAATAAAGTTTTTACTTTTAATAAAAATATGACTTCATATTTTTAAACGAAATTAATTATCAATAAACTAATTTATAAAAAAATATCATTTAAATTATATATTATTTATTTCTATTATATTTTCTCCTATATAGTTGATGTTGGTATTAGTTTTATAATTTTTATTTGATTAATTAAAATTTTATTAATATTGAAAAATACTAATAAACTTAAAGTATTACGAAGAAAATCTAATTGAAATTATTATTATTAATAATAAGAAAATTTTGATTTTAAAGTAATATTCAAAATTCTTATACTGTTAATTGATGAATTATAATTATTAAAAGATTGAAATTATAATAAAATTAATTAAATTTATTTTTAACAAATTATGATTTTAATATTTTAAAACTTAATTATATAGTTGAAATTTACGAAGATAAGTTTATTATTAAGTAATGATGTATATAATATGTGATTTTGTGTAAATCAACTCTAACATTTTTATAAATTTTTATTTTTATCTCTTTATTTTATTTTTTTATTTTATCTTTATCTCTTGTATTCATCTCTTTATCCTTTATTATTTAATTTAATTTAAAACAAAATATTAATTTAAGATTATAGTATTTCATGAAATTCGATACACTTACCAAAATCCTTGTAAGAAGTCTATTAATAAATTAATATATGAGCAGAAAAAAATATAAAAATGATATATTTTGGATGAAAGGTTAGTTATGATTGTAATTGATCAGAGTGTCCAGTGAATTGCATTGGATTTGAGAGAGGATGGTGATTGCTAGCGCCTTTCATGCATGGAAACTCACCACACTGTTATTTAAGAAGTGAGATTAGATTCACATGGTGGAGGTGCTATCTGAACCTACCTACCACCATCCTTTTATTTATTCCAGAACGTGAAAGAACAGACATCATGGTTGGTAATATAGTAATATTATAACCTCGTTAACAAAAAGATAATTTAATTGATAAATTGTAGAAAAATTTAATTGATTTTTAATTGATTTTTGTTTGGATAAGCACACAATTGTAGAAAAATTACTTGCATGTTGAAATTATTTACGCAAGTAACACGATTTATTAAATTGTTAGAATTTGAGATTTTTTTGGATCAAACACACAATTCGAGAAAAAATACTTGTATGACACACTATTTGAATAATTTACGTAAATAGCACGATTTTATTGTACTCGCATAATCCCGAATTCCAACCTTAAAAATCAATAAAAATTTTAAAATATAATAATATTTATTAAATATAAAAATTAAATATAAATATATATTTATATAAAATAAATATATAAATATTATATATATATTTTTAAAATGTATTCATATAATTATATAAAATAAATATAAATATATTTTTATATATCATAAAAATATATTTATATATTTATATAATTATATTATTAATATATTTTTATAAATATACTAAATATAAATATATTTAATATATATATAAATATAAATATTTTTATAAATATAATAAAATTTAATAAATATATATTTATATTTTTTTATATAACATTTTTACATAAATATAATAATTTATTTATGAATTATAATATCATATTACAAAACTACAACTTATTTAGGAAAAGTTGATCCCTAAGATCAAGTTACGTGTATAATGATTTGTTGTGTGACCTGGAGTGTGATAATAAAAATATTTATTTGGGTGACCTATCCATTTCAGTCATATATAAATTCATATTTATTAAATTTATTTAAATATTAAATCTATAATCTTATAATTTATTTGTATTTTTCTAATTTTGTACATCAAAGTCATTATTAAATAAATTATTATTCATATAATGTCTTATATAAATTTATTTTTTGTTTATTATTCCTATAAATTATCTTTTTTATCAATATTTTTCTTCAACTAATATATATTAAATAAAATTTAAATATTATATATATATATTAAATATATCTATAAAAATATATTAAACATATAATTATATAAATATATTTTTATCATATAATTATATAAATAAATATTTAAACTATATATATATAAATATTATATTTATTTACTAAAAATATTTTTTATTAAATAAATACTTAAATATTATATAAATATTATATTATCATATATATATATATATATATATATATATATATATAAGTATATATAAATATATTAAACATATAATTATACAATATATTTTTATTATATATAAAAGTATATATTTATATTTATTACATATTATATTTAATAAAGTTAATATATATATATATATATATATATATATATATATATATATTCTATTTAATCAAGTATATAACAAAATATAAATATGTATTTATCATATTTATAAAAATATATATAAATATATTAAAGCATAATAAAAATATTATTTTTACTTACTAAAATTATTTTATATTAAAAATATATTTAAATAATATATATAATTTATTTATGTAAAAATGTTAAGTTGAAAGATATAAATATATATTTATTAAATTTTATTATATTTATAAAAATATAAATATATATTTAAATATTATATATATATATATATATATATATTAAATATATTAATAATATAATTATATAAATATATTTTTATGTTATATACAAAAATATATTTATATTTATTTCATATAATTATGTAAATACAATTTAAAAAAAAATATATAATATTTATATATATATATATATATATTTTTTTTTTGTTTATATATATACTTTTTAAAAATTCTATATTTAATAAATATTATTATATTTTAAAAATTTTGGAATTGGGTGTTTAGCGAACCAAATTCCAACCATTTAATAAAATCGTGCTATTTGCGTAAATAATTTGAAGAGTGTGCTATGTAGGTCATTTTTCTACAATTGTGTGGTTGATTCGAACAAAACTCAAATTTAGATTTAATTGTATTGCTGAATCTTTAATTTTAGTGTATGGGACGATACTTGAACACTGATACTTCGTATTCACTCATAAATAAATTCACAATAAGAATTCAATATTACTGACAATAGTCAAATAATTAAAAGTAAAAACAAAATCACACGGATTAATTTAAGAAAAATATTTTTTTTGCAAATAAAAAAGAGAACAATATAATTCATATATTTCTCAACAGGCGAGAGTTTAATTATCACTTTAAATTCTGGTAGGATTTATTTTAAATTCAAATATTTTGCGTTAACAAAGTAATTTTTATTTAGAAAAATATTTCTAAGAGTTGTTTAAAAGTATTAAAAAAATACATATTAAAAAACAAAGACTAGATTACTCGTAAAATAATGGAACATGTATCATAATTTTTTGTATTATATAATTTATTATATTGTTTTATCGTATAACTAAAATGTTTATTAATCCAATGTAAAGTAAAGACCCTTAGTCGATTATATATACTCAGCTTTAACCTTTATTTGTTTTATGTTGACAAAAAATAATATAGGCACACGTCTCAGTTATACAAATTGTTCAAAATATGAAATTTATATTATAACCATTTTCTAAACCAAACAACCATTTAGAATTTTGCCAACAAAATTCATGAATAAATTTTTCAAAATTTTTCTATATTTTTAAAAATATGCAAATAGTATCATTCTATTCCCCTAAAGAATTGATAGATTAATGACTAATAGATCAATCCATAAATATATATAAAATTTTTATATTAATATTTAAAAAATATACACTTAATTATATAAATAATTTTTAAATTTTTATTATTAGATGAATTATTTATGTGATAAAATATTCCATTCTAATCACTAATTTAACTTATAATATTTTAATATAATATCAAAAATATAATATTTTAATTATAATTTTTTAATTTAATTTAATATATAAATGAACTAGTTGATCAAATCCATTTTATTCCGTTGGATTGATAAATTAGATAAAATGAAAAAAACGGACTCATGAATTAAAATTAACAACCCGTCTCATTAATTTTGAGATGGACTCCCCTTTCCCATGCCTGATTAGAAAGAAGCATGATTGACGTGCCAACAATAACAGATCATATCAAAAACACTACCATCATAAAACTAGAAACCAGTTCTAGTGTTATACAGACATGATTAATGTCTTCCCGACACTGGGATCATCGTAATTTGGTGTTTACCCACATTATTCCATCTCAGCCTTCAGATACCTATCACAGCTTTGAAGGAGACTGGTACCAGCCCCACGGTTCATCAGAGATGTACTGAGTCACTTGCTTCACACTTAAGTAATTATCAAGTCCCCTGAAAAAGTCAATAAAAATATTACTCGCAAGCTCAAATAAAACTCAAATGCTTTTTATTTTCCACTCCATATCCGAAAATGGTAAAGGTGAAGGCATGCTTTCTCTTTTAAATCATACAAGAGTTTAATGCATTGTCTCCGCAACTCTATTATTTTTATGCTACCTTCAAATGCCAAATTAGGATAAATTCACTCAAACAGGCAAGCCACTATGGGAAACTAATATTGCATTTTTATTCATGTTCATTATGGACAAGAGACTTTTAATTAAGATTATTGATTTAAATGTTCAACACATCACAATCTTTAAAATTATTCCAATTGCACAGTGCAAAGGATGCACCAGATCCACGATCTGTTACATAGATGTACTGAGTTTTAGATTGAATTTGATTGTACAAAATCTGATGGTCAACAAACTGTCAACAGATGAGTGATACTGGAGCATTCAACAATCTATGGACGTCAACTCATAAGCGTGGGTTTCTTTTTGCATGTTAGACATTGTATTCAGAAAAAAAGAAGGCATTTGCGGTTACTTGCACTTGTTAGTTTAGGGAAAAAAGACAATACCATTCTCCTAATTCACGACCAAAGCCACTGCGTTTAACGCCTCCCCATGGGGCTTGAGTGAAGCATGGTTGAGAGCAATTAATCCACACAATTCCAGCCTTAAAAGCCTGCATCGAAGAAAGATGAACTATTACGCTGCAGAAACAAATCATTTAATATGTTGTCATCTGTGATAACCTAGGATCAGTCTCACCTTAGTAATGCGCTCACATCTTTCTAGATCATTTGATATTACAGCAGAACCTAAGCCATATCTGTGGAAGGTCAAAGTATATAACTTAGATATCAAATCACAAATGAAGAGAAATCTTAGTTTAAAGTCGAAGTTAATATCAGTTCACAGAAAACCACCAACTCACACAGTGTCATTAGCTAGATCAATAGCTTCTTCCTCAGTGCTAAATGTTTTTACACAAAGAACAGGTCCAAATACTTCTTCTCTCCAAATTTGCATGGAGGTAGTCACATCAGTTATGACAGTTGGTTCAACAAAGAATCCCTTCTTGAGATGCTGCCATTGAATTTGAAAAAAAATATTCAGTCCTCAACATTGCAGAAGCATGTAGCCAAAACATTTGAAAGAAAGTATAATCATACCTCTGGGCGAGACCCACCAGTCAAAATGGTTGCACCCTCACTCTTGGCATTTGAGATAAACTTCAGTACTTTTTCATACTGAACCATATATATTATAAATATTAGATATCACATAACCTTGTTGAATAAGATATTTTAAGTTGTAAGATCAGAAACAAAGCTAAAGCATGGGAACATATACATTGACCAGAAGAAGGTTCCTTCTTCCCTAACTCCCTCTCATGATACATATATAGCCAGCTAACCAATAGTTCTTCTATGAAGTTTTTGTATCATTACATACTACATTGAGCTTGACCATAACACCTATGATCTCCTAACCAGTCCCAAGCCCAGATAAAGAAGGAAATTGTGTTGGGTCTTTGACAATCAATGTAAAGCCCATTGATATAAAAAACACTTTCAGCCTGATCGTAATTCATAATTAATTATTATATCATATTCCCATTACATTTTCATTTTGAATATTAAATAAGGTATTTGCATTTGAACATACCAAAGCATACATGTCCTTTACTTTAGAAAGGGTAACTTGTACAAATATATAACTTAAAAAGAAGTGAGAAAAGGCAAGTTACCTGTCCTTCACTTACAACAGGACCTAATCTGCAACCTTCTTCCAAGGGATCAGAAATTTTGATGTTTTTGATCCATTTCACAATCCTATTCAAAAACTCTGTTGCGATACTTTCCTGAAACAATGAGAGTATCTTTGTTTATCAGTTTTAGCAGACAAATGTCAACATAATTTCTATCAAGGTGTTTGAAAAAATTCAACCACAATTGAAGTTAATATGATCATTCCATATATATTCACAAAGAAGGGAAAAAAAAAAGTTGTAAATACTTGTTTTTAAATAATCGCACGTGATGAGGAAGGAATAGGATCTATCCAATAAACTTACATGTACAATAAGGCGGGAAGTTGCACTGCATATCTGACCATTTGTCCAGAAGCAGCCAAAGATGGCCCACTCAGCAGCTTAATCATGGAGAAAGGATCCAAATCATTCAATTGGTAATCGACAATAAAATTTACTTATTCTCATTCAGTATTTGATGAAATGTGATTCCATGATGCAGGCAACAGGTGTTGTCCATAACTAAATCGATATAATCAAGAAAGTCACTTACCCTTGTCAAGGTCAACATCCTCAAAAACAATGATTGGACTTTTTCCACCAAGCTCTAGTGAAACAGGCTGCCAAGAAACCACAAATTTGACAGGACGGAGATTCATGCATGAGGAAAACACAATTAAGACATCAGGTGGGAAAAGGATTCATGTCTGCAGTCTACAATAGATATGTATGTGCGAAAAATAAAAAGTTGAGTCTCACTCCTTTTTATTTCTTCCCACAATCGGAGGGAAATGAATAATAATAAGAGACTGAACTTATGATAATAGGTCATGTATTATCACATAATCAATTATACATATTTATTATTCTAAAATAAATCATTATTAATTTTTATCCTTATGTAAATATTTTCTCTTTCTCATTTTGTTGAGAAACCTAATTTTGCTGATAGAGAAAGAGAAAGATAGAAGAATAAAGATATTTTTATTTTACTGTCTATCATTATGTACAATGTCCTTTATATAAAGAAAACACCTAAAATAATAAAATCAAAAATACAATATATAAAATGCTAACAACCCAATCCACGTATCAAAACAGAAAAGATATGGAAACAATAAAATCTAAAACAGAAGGGATTTTAATCAGAGAAAACAGTATATGCTAACACATTTAAACTCTATTCCTCTTTAACAAAACACGTTTTTCTACTCTATTTCTATTCAACCAAGTACATTTATTTCCACTTTATTTCTCTTCTTTTCTTTTTCACCTACCTACTTCCTCTCTCTACCAAAAAAGGGCATTAAAAAGTTAACTGCTTGAAAATACCTTCACCAGCTGAGCTGCGGCCGTCATAATCTTGCTCCCAGTTGCAGAGCTTCCAGTAAAGGCAATCTGTCCGAGAAGTTATGCCACAATGTCACACTAGCTTTGCAAACTCAATACATCGCATTAACAATACACTCATCCATGCAACACTCAAAACTAGATACAACCCTATAGAATAGAACTTCAATTGTTTTAAAAAGTCAAGGGAATTGAACCTTGTCGACATCAGGATGGACCGCTAATGGCGCACCGGCTTCAGGTCCTAGTCCAGTGAGAATGTTCAACACACCGGGAGGAAGCCCCACTTCTTTGCAAATCTGACCTAGCTCCAAACAAGTCCTAAAAATTAAACATAACACTCGGCATCAGAATAAACCAACAAAATAAATAAGCAATCCGCAACAGTCAGTCAACGAGAACAAAACATACACAGATGCCAACTCAGAGGGCTTCAATATTGCAGCACAACCCGCAGCCAGAGAAGGAGCAACCTTCCACGTAGCCATCAATAGAGGATAATTCCTAAAACAATAACACTCAGTCATCAATTATATATAGGACGAGCATTGATCAAACCGGAATAAAAAGAAGGACAAAGTTAGTACCAGGGAGTTATTAATCCCACAACCCCAATTGGCTCCTTAAGAACGTAACTCTTGAATGTGTCCATGGGAAGAGACACCGGAGTCTTTTGTTTGGAGTCCAATTTTTCGGCCAGATCAGCGTAAAACTCAAAGCAACCAGCGACATCGTCCTACACAAACAAATAACCGTGATCGATGATACAAGTTTAATTAGTTTTTTTTATTATTATTATTTGATGTAGGGATGTGAGGTTACGATGTCCCACGCGGCTTCATCCAGCGGTTTTCCACAATCAATGGCTTCAAGTTTTGCGAGCTTGGGTTTTTTCTCGGTAACCTGCGAGGGAGAACGTAATGTAATTAAGGAAATTGAGCAATAGAAGAGATAAAATAGAATTGAGTGTATCAAGAACCTTGGCAGCGATGGCACGGAGATAGCGGGCCCGAACGGCGCCCGAGGCGGAGGCCCAATCGGCGCCTTTGTTGCGGGAGAGGGCGGCTTTAGCGGCGGCAACGGCAAGGACGACGTCTTCCTTAGTAGCGGCTGGGATATCCCCTACATTGAGAAGGAAAGTGCGGGTGAATGAGATTGAAAATGAGATCTGATGAGACGGTGGAGAGAGAAGAAGAGAATGAAAAGGAACCGATGATCTGTTCCGTGGAAGGGTTGATGATGGGAATCCGTTTGTTGAGGACAGGGGCTTTCCAGTCACCGTCTATGAATAGTTGACGGCTGGGAATTGGGATGGACATGTTGTGGCGTGGGTCTGTCTGTGAGGAGAGATGACACTGCCAATCGCTGCGTGTGAGTGTTAGTGTTAGTAACTGAGCAAATACTAGTGATCTTTCAGCCCGTTTTTTCTATTCTTATCTTTTTCTTTTCTCACTCCTTTATTTTCTCCTAGAGATTGTGTTGAGGTTCAGAGTTAGTCGGTTTCTCATCTTTCTTTGGAGTGAAATGAAAATAGTTTAATTGCTTTGAAATAAACAACAATTATTCAAATAAAATTATCTCTAGAAAATACTAATATAATTATAATTTCTAAAATATTGTTCCATATATTTGGAAGATATCTTTCACACCCTACAAGATTATTCTCATTCCTAAAAATTTTTATGTGTTTTGCTGTCTTCTCTGTTTTAATCCTCCCTAATCTTCTAACATTGTTGATCAGAATATGATATATGATATTATTACTATCGGGTGGTTTAGCTAAGATGGAATACCTACATCTTTAATAGTCAAGAATAGATGTGTCACTATGTATATCTCATAGGTGGGTGAGTCAGTCTTATTTAATGAGTGATCTTGTCCTAAACATATTTTCTTCCGAAGTTGAATATAGATGACAGTTACATATCAACTTCAAGAGTCATATAATTTAGAGGTGTATTAAGAGATTTGGCAAAGAAAAGAGCCATGGATTTCTCCCAACATCTAAGCTTTGATGATATTTTCCATACAAAGGCGGAAGCTATAACTATGGGTCATGATTTTGTTGTTGAAATAAGGGTGATAGGAATATTATTTGTATTTGAATAAATGTGATATCGCAAATATTCTCACAAATTGAATCATAGAGGCTGTTTTTGTTTGAAGTGTAATCGAATTATATGTGGAATTGGGGTCAAGTGGCTTCATGGCTTGAGGATCTTGTTAAATCAGCGCCTAGTGTCTTTGTTGACGAGTCTGGTGAAAGCGATCAGATGGTGTTTATACACGTAAGTCAGCACCTTTGCCTCCCGAGAAGGGTCAGAGAGAAAGTAAGTGATTGGGCTGGAAATTCCATAAAACATTCACTTTTTCTTCTGGCTAATTGCATAGTATTCCCTTTCAACAAAATTAATGTTACCCCTACGACAACTTATAATCATGTAGCTTGGCTATATGGCTGCAAAGCATAGGCTAATGATCACCAAATAACTCTAATAGCAGCAGGTTTATGGTCTATTTGGAGAGCGCGTAATGCAGAGATGATTATCCATCATGTAGTGGGCGGAAGATATAATGCACAGATACAATCGTCTCCGATGACGATTGGTCTTATATTAAAAAATGTAAGATATGATATATTTAATATAAGTATATATATATATATATATATATATATATATAATTCATAAAAAAATATATATATAATTATTAAATATTATTTAAATTGAATACATTAAATATATTTTAAAAATTTAAATGTATTAACTAAAATTTTTAAATAATATATTACCTATTATCCAATGTTACGAATACTGAAATAAATGTTCAACTTAGGTTGGAACACTCTAGAAGAGTGTGATTACGTATTGTTATGTGGAAAAAGTGTTCAACTCAAGTTGGAACACTCTAGAAGAATGTGAATTTGTACACGTTAGAAAAAAAAAAAGTTTAACATTGCAAGATGAAGGAAGGGAGAAAAAAAAAATCAAAGAGAAACCAATGCAAAAACAGAAACAATCCGAAAAAGGAAGAAGAGAAAATCAAGAAGAAACAAACAATAATTACATTCTAAAATTATAAACTCTAAAAGAAAAAATATTAAAAAAAAGATTATTAACCTCTTCTCTTCACAAAACTTGCTGAATTCTCTAAACTTGTATTCACCACCTCCATCAGTCCTCGAGATTGTTAACCTGCTATTAACATATATCTTTTAATACGAGCACAAAATTTTTCAAAAATAGAAAACACCTCTCATTTCTCCTTTATCAAGTACACTCATATTTTCCTTGAAAACTCATCAACAAATGTGAGGAAATATTTATTTCCTCCTAGTGATGGTGTGTCTAGAGGACCACACACATCAAAATGCACCACTTCCAACACTTGTTTAACTCTCTTTGGTGCAGAGTCTATAAATGTCTTCCTGGGTTGTTTTCCAATAATACACCTTTCACATATTTTGGCTAGTAGTTGGATCTGTGGTAGCCCTTTCACCATCTGCTTGCTACTGAGTTGGTTCAAACTTTTAAAATTCAGGTGATCGTATTTATAATGCCACAACCAACTTTCCTCCTCCACATTGTATTTCAGTAGTCTCTAAATTCACTTTAAACGTCATGTTATTAGACAGTGGTGCCTTAATCACGAGCCTCTATTGTGAGTTATAAATCTCAATCAATTTTTGTTGTATGTTCATGGTGTAGCCTTTTTCTAAAAGTTGTCTCATACTGAGCAAGTTATTCTTCATGCTTGGACGTATAGAACATTATTCATGTAGGTCACATTGTCATCCTTTCTTATAATCATCATCTTTCTACTTCCTTCTGCCACAATGGAGCTATTATTTACAAATTTAACATTGTTTCTCACACATGGATTGAGGTCAATCAACCAATTCCTGTTTCCAGTCATGTGATTGGAGCACCCCGTATCCAAGTACCAAGACATTCTATCCTCCTTACTGCCTGTTGTTGCCATCAATAATACTTGGTCTGAATCAGACTCATTTCCTTCTTCCTGTGCCATATTTGCTTCTTCTCCTTTTTGTCCCATCTATGTCGTGTCTTCCTGCCAACACTCATAAGAATAGTGTCCATATTTTTCACAATTATAGCACTGAATTCTTCTTTTATCATATGGTCTCTTGCCACCTTTTCCTCTTCCTCTGTTCTAGTATCCACCTCTACCATCATACCCATTATTCTCAGATTTTTCCTGGGCCATTGTTTCTGCCTCTGGACCTTCCTCTACCTCTGCCTCTCCTACCACTTCTGCCTCTGCCTCCATAACTCATTTTGGCCTATAGAGCCTATTCAGTCACCTTCTCACCATTCTTCCTTTCATTCACTCTCTGTTCATATGCTTCAAGAGAGTTATGCAGTTCTTCTAGTGTCATAACATCAAGATCCCTTGACTCTTCTATGGCCACCACAATGTGGTCAAACATTGGGATTAAAGTTCTCAAAACTTTCTCTACAATTCTGCAGTCTTCTATGTTCTCATCACACGCTCCTTTGTTCTCATCACAATCTCCTTTTCTGTCATAGATCCCTTGACTCTTCTATGTTCTCATCACAATCTCCTTTTCTGTCATAGAAAGGAGTTCATACGGTCTTTTCAAATATTACAATTTCACCTTTTTCATTTTCCTAGAATTTCCATACTCATTTTGTAAAATCTCCCAAACCTCCTTTGTTGTGACAACTTTTGAGTTCTTCTGAAAAATAGGGACTGCAACACGTTGATACAGTAATACACGAGTCTTACAGTCCAACTTCTTCATCTCCTTGTATGTCTTCTTGGCTCCTTCATCCGCATTCTTTGGTGGTTCTTTGAAACTTATTTTCACGATCTCATCAATTCTTGAAATCTAAGAATAACCTTCATTTTCATGTACCAACCATCATATAGTCTTTTTTATTAAATATGAGTAAATTCATAGTAAAAATGGATAAATTATTTGTCAACTTAATTCAAAAGATGATCAAGAAAAAAACAAAAATAATGTCATATAACAACAGTGTTGATTTGAATCTCCTTTTTTGTATAAGATAAATGTAAGAATTTTAATCCGTAGATATTTCTGCATTAGCGTCAGAACATCGATCCCTCTTCCCCTAAAGTTTTCTCGAAGCAATTATTTCGTTTAATTAATTAATCATATATAACCACATTGTGCACCAAGTAGAAAATATTCAGAGGCCTTTTGCGTTACAATTATAGCAATAAACCAAATTTGGCTTGACCCTACTACAATTGGTTAGTTACACCACATTATACACAACTACTTTTTTTGTCAAATATCCTAATAACACCCACTTATATTATTTTTTTTAAATTAATCTTTAGAGTATAATAAGATTGTTGGATGATAATTGGGAATGTGCTAGGTGTGCATTTATCCTTTTCTAAAATATACATTAAAATATAAAGATCGAAACACTATTTATCTAGAGGGAGCACATTTTTGTCTTGCTCAATTAGCAATTGGTATCTGTCTAATCACTATTGATTTATTATTAGATTACAATGACCAAGGTAAGGGAACTTTGAACATTTCAAACAGTGTGTGTAGTTTATAATTAATGTACAAACAAGCAAATTAATTGTGCTTACATTAATTAAAGAGATTGTAAACGTGTAAACCTTCCCTTTTGGATTGATGGATGGGTATCAATCATCTATCACATACAGCCCCTGATATCCTTATATTGATAAAAAAATATTTAGTTCTGAGGATTTATTTTGATAACATAATAATTAATTATAATAAATAAAATATTATTGTTATAAAATGTCCGTTATAAACCTATTATGATGAAATTTAACAGTTAATGTGTTATTACAATTCATAATTATAGATTTCTATTATATTTTAACTAATCGTTATTTTTCATTGTTAGATATTGTTTATATATTATTTGATATTGTTAAGATATTGTTAGATATTGGTAACCACAATATCAAACAATATCTTCTGTTTATTCTGTTATTATAAATAGATCACCCTATGTGTGATTTATACACAAGGGAAATTAATTCCAAACTATATTTTCTTTATATTCAACATGGTATCTAGAGCTTAAGGTTATCTTGAATTTTTTTCCGCCTTTTGTCCACTGCTGGAGCCGCCCCACCGCTGCTAGAGCCGCCCCACCGCTGCTGGTAAGCTGATCCTCCACATCGAAAAGAATTATCTTTGTCATTGAATTTTATTTGGTAGTGTGAAAGTGCATGTTTAGGAAAGTTCGGCAAGGAAAGACTTGGTATTTAAGTGTGTCCATTAGTGACCCACCTCTCTTTCCTGGGAACTTACCTAGTGTACTAGTTCACGTTACCTGTCATCGCTGCCGCTGGAGCGAGCCATCGGGTCCGCCGTCGTCGGAGAATTCGCCGGAGTTTCATTTTTTTACCGGTGACATATGATTTTGCTTGTCTCGGTCGGGGTTTGTTCTCCGCTCTTCATGACTTCTTCCACTATTTCCAATTTTGTTAACGATTTTTTTGTGTTGACATCCCATCGTGATGACCGGGCTCGCCCTCGCAAACAGGAAAAATGGCGTCCTAAGTGTGAACATTGTGGCAAGCTAGGTCACAAGATTAACAAGTGTTATACATTACATGGTCGTTCTCCTCGATCTGCTTGTAGTTGTTCGGACCAATCTTTCCCCACCTTTATCCGTAGGGGATCTTCCTTCTTCGTTGCATCCGACATGTCCGCTATGTTCAACAAATTTCTCGAATGGTATAAGGATCAACAGTCTTCTAGTTCCACTATATCTGTCACACATACAAATACATATTTTCTTTGGTCCGACCCAATCATTTTCTCCTGGTCCTTGGGTTTTTGATTCAGGAGCCACTGATCATATTACCGGTAACAAATCTTTGTTCTCCTCTTTATCCTCTCCTAATCATTTACCTTACATTACACTTGGTCGATGGCTCTAGAGTATCATCTCATGGTGTTGGAACGGTTAAACTCTTTCCTTCTTTAACCATTGATAATGTTCTTTATGTCCCTGGGTCTCCTTTTAACCTGTTGTCCATCGGTCGTCTAACTCATTCTCTTGATTGTGTTGTTACTTTTACCAACAATTCCGTGTGTTTACGGGACCGGAGTTCGAAGCAGGGGATTGGCACGGGATGTGAGTCTCATGGTCTTTATTATCTCAGTCCCTCTACACATGTTAGTACAGTTATGGAGTCTCCCTCTCTTCTTCATGCACAGTTAGGTCATCCAAGCCTTGCCAAGTTACGGAAACTTGTCCCTGCCTTGTCTAACTTATCTAGTTTGGCGTGTGAGTCATGTCAATTAGGCAAGCATAGTCGTACTTCCTTTCCTCGTAGTTTCACACGTGGTGCTTCGTCCCCTTTTGCGTGGTTCACTCGACATTTGGGGACCTAGCCGCGTTAAGTCTACTTTAGGTTTTCAATACTTTGTTACTTTCATTGATGATTATTCCAGATGCACTTGGTTATTTTTGATGAAAAATCATTCTGAATTATTTCATATCTTTCAAACTTTTTTTAATGAAATTCAAACTCGGTTCGGTGTTTCTATTAGAGTTTTGCGTAGTGATAATGGCCGTGAATATCTTTCTCATTCTTTTAAACAATTCATGGCTTCTCACGGTATTTTGCATCAAACTTCTTGTGCTTATACACCTCAACAAAATGGTGTAGCTCGAACGTAAAAATAGACATCTTATTGAAACAACTCGCACACTTTTAATTCATGGAGATGTTCCTCAACATTTTTGGGGTGATGCTCTTCTTACTGCATGTTATCTCATTAATCGCATGCCTTCTTCGGTTTTAGATAATAAAATACCTCATTCCATTTTATTCCCTCATGAACCACTTCATCCTTTACCTCCGAAAGTTTTCGGATCTACATGTTTTGTTCATAATTTCAATTCAGTCCGGACAAGCTTTCTCCTAGATCACATAAATGTGTTTTCTTAGGGTTTACAAGATCACAAAAAGGATACAAATGTTTTTCTCCTTCTCTTAACCGTTATTTTGTGTCAAAAGATGTCACCTTTGATGAGTTGTCTCTTTATTTTAAAAGTCAAACTTCACCTCTGTCTCCATCCAATCTTGTCAACACTCCTAATACATTTAATGTTCCTGTTGTTTGTGACCCTCTAATTGTGTCTTCTTCACCATTAGTTTTACGCTCCATGATTAGCTTCTTCTCCACTGCCTCTTCGATTTATAGTTCTCGAAATCAATCACAACCACCACCATGTGACTCTACTCAAGTGCCAACTACTCTGTCTCCTCCGGATCTGACACATGAGTCCGACCTTCCCATTGCCCTCCGAAAAGGTATTCGTTCTACACGTAATCCCTCTCCCCATTATATTGCTTTGAGTTATCATCGATTGTCATTACCTTTTTATACATGTCTTTCCTCTATTTCTTCCGTGACCATTCCAAAAGCGTACTGTGAAGCTTTAGCCCATCCTGGTTGGCGTCAGGCCATGTTAGATGAACTAAGTGCTCTTCATAATAGTGGAACTTGGGAATTGGTCCGTTACCGATCTGGGAAATCTGTTGTTGGTTGCGAGTGGGTGTTTGCTATCAAAGTTGGACTCGATGGTACTATTGATCGCCTCAAAGCTCGTCTTGTGGCCAAAGGTTATACTCAAATTTTTGGGTTGGATTATGGAGATACCTTTTCCCCTGTGGCAAAGATGGCTTCGTTCGTTTATTTATCGCCATGGTCGCTCTTCAACAATGGCCTCTTTATCAACTGGATGTTAAAAATGCTTTCCTCAATGGTGATTTGCAAGAAGAAATATATATGGAGCAACCTCCTGGGTTTGTTGCTCAGGGGAGTCTTCCGGGATGGTATGTCGTCTTCGCAAATCCCTATATGGCCTAAAACAGTCTCCTAGGGCTTGGTTTGGAAAGTTTAGCAAGGTTGTTCAACAATTTGGTATGACTCGGTGTGAATCGGATCATTCTGTCTTTTATCGACACTCGAAGTGCTTGGATGTGTTTACTTGATAGTATATGTTGATGATATTGTTCTTACAGGTAGTGACAACCATGGCATCTCTCGGTTGAAACAACATCTTTGTCACCATTTTCGGACCAAAGATCTTGGCAAACTTAGATATTTCTTGGGTATTGAGGTAGCACAGTCCAATGATGGTATTGTTATATCTCGGAGGAAGTATGCCATAGATATTTTGGAAGAAAGCTGGGTTGATGAGTTCAAAGTCTGTTGATACACCCATGGATCCCAATACTAAACTTCTACCAAATCGGGGAGCCTATATCGATCCTGAGCGAGTATAGAAGATTGGTTGGAAAATTGAATTATCTTACAGTTACTCGTCCCGACATTTCCTTTGCGATCAGTGTGGTAAGTCAATTTCTTAATTCACCATGTGAAGATCATTGGAATGCGATCATTCGTATCTTGAAGTATATTAAAGGATCTCCTGGAAAAGGATTGTTATATGCTTCTAATAACCATACAAGAGTTGTTTGCTACTCGAGATGCTTGATTGGCAGGATCTCCTTCGGATAGAAGATCTACATCCGGATATTGTGTCTCCATTGGTGGTAACTTGATTTCATGGAAAAGTAAGAAACAAAGTGTTGTGGCAAGATCCAGTGCAGAAGCGAGAATATAGAGCTATGGCCTCAGTTTCCTGTGAACTTGTTTGGCTCATGCAATTGCTTAGAGAGTTACAATTTGGAGATGTCACTCAAATGACACTTGTGTGTGACAATCAGTCGCTCTTCATATTAGTTCTAATCCTGTCTTTCATGAGAGGACCAAACACATTGAGATTGACTGTCATTTTATTCGAGAAAAGATTATGTCCGGAGATATCAAGACCGAGTTTGTTAACTCAAGTGATCAGTTAACAGATATTTTTACTAAATCTTTACGGGTCCTAGAATTGATTATATTTGTAACAAGCTTGGCACATACGATTTGTATGCTCCAAGCTTGAGGGGAAGTGTTAGATATTGTTTATATATTATTTGATATTGTTAAGATATTGTTAGATATTGGTAACCACGATATCAAACAATATCTTCTGTTTATTCATTACTTTCGATTCTCTTTTAGTTGTATTTCTACTTATAAATAGACCACCCTATGTGTGATTTATACACAAGGGAAATTAATTCCAAACTATATTTTCTTTATATTCAACATTCATAATTATAAATTTTTTTTTTGTTGCGGTAGGAGAAATCGGCTAGCTGTGGTGGGTAGTTCATTAAGTAATTGCAATTTTGGAATCTTAAAAATGGAGGTATACACTCAAACATAGAAAATAATGTATAGAGATTAACTAACACAAAATTAGCATAACAAACATGGAAACTAATACAAACAACCTTGTACATGGATCATACTTAATTACAAACTACCAAGAATAAATGAATTCGAGGTCTAGAACGAAGACAAAGAAACCATTAAAGTAAAACAGAGAAAAAGAAAACGAAAGTAGCAGTTTACAATCAATCAACTAATCTACAAATGAAAAAAAAAAAAAAGTTTGAAATTAATGTTTGTGGGTTGCTTTGGAGTACTTGGTCTTGATCCAGTGAAGGCCAACGGATGTACCATCCTTCAACTTCTTCACGCCGGTGGAGGCCACTGCTTTGGTCTTGCCAAAACCCTCCCCGAGCTTTTGCTTGTATTTGGTGGTGCTGTCGCTGCTCTTTTTGTTATTGGAACCAACGGTCACAGGGTCTGGTCCATCATCCCATTGATCAGCCCAGGAAGTGTAGTTGTTCCCATCCATTTCTCAACTTTTATGAGTTCCTCCTAATAGAATTATCCAATTGATTGCGCGAACGGAAAAGACAAGATATTTGAGTTTTTCCAAAGGGACCAATTCAAGGGTTTTTATAGTGACAGACGCTTTTAATAGTACTTTATCAGAAATCAACTACATCCCTTTGTTTATGATCCATCAGAAGAGGGAAATTTCACGCGGCCATGTTCAACATTGACGTCTTGATGGAACCTTCTCCTTGAGAAGTTTATTTGACTGGCTTAATAAAAAATATTGTGCAAGTTTTGGATCAATCCATCCACGCTTGTGCTTACGCTTCATATTCTTAGTTTTTTTATTCATGTGCAGAAGCTTCGAGGACCATCTGGGAGATTTAACTACGGTCAGATTCAAAAGAAGCCAAAAAGTTAACAACCGTTCCCACCAGAATGGATTTTATTAAGAATACAAGGATTATTTCCGAATGGATTAGTTGACCTGAGTTTGGTGTTAGAAAAAATCTAACCACGATGTTGATATCGGATAAAATGAAATGAAAAATAATAAATTTAAATATTAATTGAAATATTTTGATTTTATAAAAAAATTTAATAGTTAATATTATGATTTTATATAATTATTATAATTTCAGAATTTATTTTTTCTTCCGGATTATAAGAAAGGGAAGTAACGTGTCTGAAAATTACTGTCAACGATGAAGTCGTAAATGCAATGTTATAATGAATGCTTTGAATTTATGATAAGATGTAACTTTCTTTCTTCTTTTATTTCAAAGAGTGACATTTTTTTCCTTCTAGTTGGCTTGTTTATTTAAATCTAACGTGTATTTTCTTTACTTAAACAAATGAGACACATAATAATAGACCTTTGTTTTACACATATCGACGTAGGTTGCAAATTCAATACACAATATTCACAGTGCTAATGTTATAGGATATTCAAGTCATTAATTTTCATGATTTTTAATAATTAGATTATAGAATATTATATATCATTAATTAATCCACTGTTAATCAAGATTTGTATAATTTCATATATTTATTTTGATTTTAATATTTTTGTATAAATTCTTATTTCCTAGAGGGATCACCAATTTTATTTTATCTAAAATAAGTGAATATATATATATATATATATATATATATATATTTTTAATTTTCGGACTCCCAACTCAATGACTAATTTTATTGAAATAAATTCTTAAGTTTTTCTCCAATAGATGACCATGGAGCGAGACTAGGGAGGTTTTGCTTCCCTATCTCGTCGACTTTTTAATCATTTATGTCCCACTTTTTAATTTCCGTTAAGGTTAGAAATTAAGTTTTCATTTTTGTTTTCGTTGGGTTTCTCCGCCCTTGTCTCATCCCTAGTTTATATAATTTTTAAAAAAATAATTATATTTATAATAAATTAATTTTACTATTTTTATATATTTTTTATGCATAAATAAATATTTATAATTTGTAATTATTATTAATTAAATATATATTATAATTTATTATATTTATATTAATATATATATATATATAAGAAATATTTAATCATTTTTTATTTATACATATATAAAATATTTATATTATTATTATTATTATATTATTATTATTATTATTATACTCTATTCAAATATTTGATTACATATATAAGTTAATTTATTTTTAAGTTGTTATTTAAAAATATGAAATATATAACTTGTAAAAAAATATTTAATAAGTTCATTCTTATTTAATTAGTTTAAAGTAATAAAATATTAAAATATTAAATTATTAATTATTTTTAATCATTTAAAATATATTTATTTTATTAAAATAACATTTGATATGTGACAAATAAAAATAATAAGTTTCAAAAAATATGATATAAAAAAACTTAATAAATATAAATTATAAATAAAATAATATTAGTTACTGTTAATATTTATGTAAAATATATAGAAAAAGATAAAAAAAACTTTATGTTCATCAGATTGGGTAAAAAGATTAAAAAAACTTGATTAGAGATATTAAAAAATGCACAAAACTAAAAGGTAAGAGAAAGATAATAATATAATAAACTAATTGATATAAAAAAAAAGTAGGTAGAAGAAAAGTAAAAATGATGAAATATAAAAAAAATAACTTTATATACAATTATTCATTTTCTAATTTAGAAATTAGGATATTATAAATTAACCTATTTAATAGAATTTATATAATATAAAACTTATACAGTTTATGTTACAAACCTATTTATTCATATTAAAAAATAAATTATTAATATATTTGAAAAAAAAGTTCTTAATAATTTCACTACTCTCCTCCCTCTTCCAGTTTGAGACTCTTTCTTCAACTCTTCAATTCTCAGTTTTCTTCAACTTTCATTAGTTGGTTCAATTGTGTTTATAAAATATGAATTTTAAAATAATTTTTATTTTAATTCCTCTAATTGAAACAAAATATTTTAGCCTCTCAACATAAACCAAAATTAATTCCTAAAACTAACTAAAATAAGTTTTTAAAAATTGTTTTTAATCTTTTAAATTTCGTATTTTTAAGCATTAAAACTCTATTTTCCTAAATTTTAGAAACTAAAATAAATATTCTTTTATAATTTGCCAAATATATCCCAAATTTCAAAAACTAAAATTATAATTAAACTATTTTAATTTTTAAACTATTTTAGGATCCTAACCCATTTTAACCAATAATGATAAACTTAATGATGATATACTAACCATTTTTCTATCTCTATATGATTTTTCTTTTTTCATATTTGTACAAATTGAAATTTTAAATTTTATTCAAAGTAGTTCTTAAGTTTTTATCAACTTTAAATATACTCACCTTAACTCATCTCCATTGATCCTTAAAAATTACCCTTATTAAAAATATTCATGAGTATCAATATTGGATTAAACAAATAATAAACCTAATCATCAACAAAGTTAAGATACTGGTTATTAAAAAAATATTAATAAATGATAAATATAATGTCATTTATTTATTTATTTATTATAATTGTAATTACTCATTGGTTTTACCTTTTTATATATTATTTTTTTCAAAATATTAAAATTTAATAAAATTAAGAACCAAAAAAAAAATTCATATTTTATTCCATTTATATATTAATAAAAATTGTAATAAAATAGAAACTATTCATTACTTTTTATATTGTAGACAAAAAATATATTTATTAAATTATAATTTTTTTAAATTAAAATGCAAATAAATTTTAAAGTATTTATTCATTAGGGTAAATTTTGATGAATAAGTAACATATTGGATATAATATATTTAAAAAAATTACTTAAATAAAATCTATATGAATTTATTTATCTTATTAAATCTATATAATTTTTATTCTTTTCTTGTAATTTCTTTTTCTCTTTCTTCCTTCACTCTTTCTTATTAATTAAATATTTAAAATTATAATAATAATAATAAATTTATTTATTTTGATAATAAGTAATTTTATTTACGATAATTTAAATAATTAATTTAAAATTATTTTATCATAATAAATAATTACTCATTTAATTAAAAATTATCAAATATTTATAATTTAAATGTATTTTTATTTAATAATTTAATATAATTATAATTAGACTAAGTTATAATAAATCTCAAATTGATCATACAATATTTTTTTATATAATATATTAAATTATAGTATTTTTAGACCATTTAAATAATATTTTAATAAATAAAAGACTCACAGTATCAATATTCAATCTAACATTCTTAAGTGAAGAATAAGAAAGAGTGAGAGAAGAAAAAAAGAAAAGAAAAATAATAAATAAATAAACGAGAAAAAAGAGGAAAAAAAATTATATTACGTGTAACAAATTTATTTTTCCTTATTAAATTTTGTGTAGGAATAAAAAATAAATTTGATTGGATAAATAAAATTAAAATAATTCTATTTAAGTAATTTTTCTTTTTAAATATATTATTTATCACATTAATTCGTAATATATTTTCTATCTATTATAATAAGTTAATATTCATATTTACTAAAATACTTATTTAAATTTATGTCTTTCATTTTTGAGGGAATATCTTTATTCTTTTTACCGTATTATCGATATTTTTTTCTTTCCTTTCATAAACATGAAATATGTAAAAAGTATTAATATATATATATATATATATATATATATATATATATATATATATATTGATTAAAGGATATGTTCTTTTAAGAAATAATTTGAAAATTATTATTATTAAATTAAAGAATAACAACAATTATATCTCTATATATATAATTGTCATAATTTTTAACATAATAATATTTATAAATTTTACTTTTTTTTTTAACTTTTAATTAGTTAAATTTTTTTATTTTTAAGTGTCAATAATTTTATAAATCAAAATAGATGTCTGAAATAGTATATATGATTAGATAAATTTAGGAAAATAAATTGTGTGTCATTAAATAATAAGGAAAAATTATATTATAATGTTATTAAATTATGTGTCCAAAAATATTAAAATTAATTAGTTATCAACGTTTAAAAATAATTGTTCAAGATATTACTTAGTAGAAGAAGAAGTTAGATGAATAGTGAAATAAAACCATTTGTTGAAATTGAAAACTATGTTTGAGTATTATATAATAAAAATTATATAACAAATATGTTTTATATTATAGTTTACTATACATATTAAACTATTTTATATTTATAATTTAATTTTACTGTACACACAGGTGATGTATCACATGAAGAATAAAATCAAATATAAACCCACACATCTCTCTTCACCATCTTGTCACACATTGATTGGACCTTAAGTGCTATAATTAAGGCAAATAAGTGAAGTCCTTATCCACTACACAAAGAACCTAAACCTAACATGTGAGATATTTGTTATTATGTGATCAAAAGATTAATTTCCAATTAAGAATATGAAATAATATTTGTAGAAAAAAGGAACAATTGATACATGTTTAATAATTTTTAAAGGATAAATCAATAATGAAATATAAGAGTTTTATAAAAGTTGGAAGAAAGTGTCCCAACAAAAATGGACCTTCACTTATAAACGGTGGGACAGAGAAATTGAATGAAGGCATTGCATCTATCTATCTATCTATCAAATGAAATATCCAAATCAATAGTGGAAGCAGAGGGCGTGGAAAACGGGAACTCGAATTAAGATGGTCCAAATAAAATGAGTGTCTAGTGGTTATGACTTGTGAGGAAACTGGGCATAAACAGCAAAGGGTATGGGGCAAGAAAATTCAATTATGGTTGTTGGCACTGGTTAATAGGGTCCATGGGTTCCTATCAGAGGCCCCTATTATATTAGACAAAATAGTAATTGATGTTTCTTAGAGTATCACTTAAGGAAATTGAAGTATTTTACAAAATATAAGTATTATGGATTCTTTTTCTTCATTATAATTAATCTCATGTCATAACTATTTATGTATAATAAATTTTAGTTAACATATTCAATAATTCATATAAATTACTTTTTAAACAATTTTAATTTAATAGAAAAATTCTTAAGAAATTTAATTAAATTTCTTTTTTCCTTATTCTCTCTTTATTTAATTTTTTAAGTTGTTCATAAAATAATTAATTACAATTTTAAATTTATAAGTCCTTAAATAAAGATTTAATTTAAATACTGAAATTTTACTTAAATCATTTCATTAAAGATATTTTTAAAAGAATTTGTAAAAATAAAATGTATTTTTTTAATATAAATAATTTTAACTATAAAATTTTCTTAAAATAATATATTTTATTTTTAAAAACTCATCCAAACAATTTATTTAAAAATATTATGAAATTTTAAACAATAAAATGCTTTATTATTATTATTATTTATGTTTTTAAGAATATATATAATTTATTTATTTAAATAATAAATAATATTTTTTTATTTTAATATAATCATTTAAAACAATAATGTATTATATTTATTTTATAAAAAATAGTAATTATTTTTAGAGTAAATAAATCTCTTATATATATAAATATGTTTTTTTAGGAAAATGATATTTTGATAATCCAAATTTATATAACTCTTATAAACAATTCTTTTTTAATATTATAATAATAATTTTAATTTATTTTTATTTTTATTAAATCATTTAATAAATTATTATATTAATAAAAGTAAGTTATTTAAAGGGTTATATGATTTATTGTTCTCAAAAATATCGTCACTTTGTTGTTAAGAGAGAAGAGAGGAAAACATGTGAAAGATTGAGTGAGACATGAAGGAGGACAAGGAGACAAGAAGCGCATGCATGGGTACATACGGGACCAAGAGCCAGATAGTACAAGCCGAATAGGTCGAGTTCATTTGACATGCCCCAGTTACATAGGTTTCTAATTAACGATTTTTGTATATATATTATTTTTAAAAAATTATAATTTTTTATGAAAAAAATAGTGCTTGAATAAAATAGAATTTGTTAGGACACTGAATTTTTCTTTATCATATTTAACACAGTTGTATTTCATTCGTACTTTAAAGCCTATGATAAACCTAAAATAGTTTTACACTGAACAGTTTTATATGCTTATTTTTCTGGATCACATATGCCTAAGATTCAATTTTTGAAGTAAGCTTGTGATTGGATAAGTATTTTCAAATTTGATTTGTAAAGTTATTTTTACTTGAAATTAATTTTCAAAATAATGTGACTTATAATTAGATATTTTATGCTTAAAAAGTTAGCGGTAACGTAATACACAATTGAAAATGTCCATTAAATATATTTTTTTTGTCTTTTTTTTTACCTAATAAAAAAATTGTTATTTTCTGTTAATTTTTTCCTTGTTATTTTTTTATTTGTTCACTTTTCTCTCCTGCAGACCAACCGAGTCATAAACATAATCTTAGACAAAATAATGTAATATGATTTGGAAAGCGTACGTATCTTACTGAAATTCATGTTGGGCAAATATGTAGGGGACCTGCACTGCACCTTGATACTGGAAGAGACACAAAGACAAGCAAACTAGAATCCCTCCACTATTGGCGCAGCCATCTCAAACCTGATTTCTATGCTGTTCTTTCCCCCATCTTTTCCGCTGCAACTCTGCTTTATTTGTAATTACTCCATCACTTTCTTCGTTGGCATCATTACAAGCAAAGTCTTTCAAGATATAAGCGCTTAATTTATATGAAATCGTGTTCTTCCAAATAATCAAGTGATGATTTCGTAGCTTTTTCTATTCTTTTATTTTCTTTTTTTCTCATTTTGGCTGGGTCTCTATGGTTGTTAGCCAAGCTATCCTTAGACATATATTGAACAGTACTCTGTCTATGATAACCGACAAATTTATTTAATGCTCCTGTTATACGTATCTTTCATTAATGTGGACTAAATGGTGTTGTTGAAATTACATGATTTGCTTGCCAGCACCAGCAGCTGCTAGAAAAGATGATAGTAACAGCCACCTGATGCTAGGGCACACATCCATCTTCACAGGCTAGTCCAAACTTTTAGAGGATCTGAGTTAGAAATCACATACTTGGAAAACTACACAACCCTGATGCCAGTTGAACGTTTGATTAAAATAAAAGGGTTTGTTGTGTAATTATGGCAAATTCTTGAATCTTCTTTTGTGTATGTGTTTTTTTATTTTTTATCATCAAAGCTCTTCTATCATCTTGTACGAATTTCATGACAGGTGGTGTATTTGGATGAACAAAAAGTCTATCAGATTGACCCCAACTTTTAATGACGAAAGATATGCCTTAACAATATGGAGCCCGTTAATAACTTCAAATATCGCCTCATGTTTCTCAACTTTCTTGTGCATCATTCTTGTTATATAACCCTAATTTCAAAATCTTATAAATAAATAATGACCATCGGATGAAACAACTGCACCTTGTCTTCTAACACGTTATCTGTAGAAATCATTGTCTTCGTTTCTATTTCTTCAACTGAATACTGTCATTTTTTTTAAAATGACAGCAACAGACGAAAGTCTTACTCTTACAGTTCTTCAAAAAGAGGAGAATTTTACTATAAATTATCATTACCATTACAAAAAGCAAAACATAAAAAGTAGGTAGATATAAATAGATATTTGTACAGAGATCCAAGGGCTAACTTGGTTAGGCAACCATGTATATGTGTATATATATAGCTCCATGCATACCCCACTTACGAAGCATGATGTTGGAAGGGATTTCTGTATGTACCAGATAATTTTTCTTCACCATTTATATAAAGTCAAAAGCCCTCTTTCCTTTACACCATACCACTTTTCTCACCATGGAACACACCAGATCCTTCAACGACTCCAATAATAGTCTCTCTTCACAACGAAGTCTCGCTTCAGTTCCTTCCCTCAACTCACACTCACACTTCTTCAACGCTTCCACCACCTCATACACGTGCCTCGCCACTCTCAAACCCCACACCTCCTCCTACACCTCTTCCCTCACCCTCGCCGGCAAATTTCTCTATGCAGGCTCCTCCGACAGAGAAATCAGGTCCTGGAACCACACCATTTTCCTCTCCCCCCAAGACCAACAAAACACCAACATCGTAACCGCGGGAAAAGGTGCTGTGAAATCAATAGTGGTCCACTCCGACAAGCTCTTCACCGCACACCAAGACCATAAAATCCGCGTCTGGAGAATCACCACCCTCGAACACGACCACCAGAAGTACACACGTGTGGCCACACTCCCCACGCTCGGCGACCGCGTCACCAAAATCTTCATCCCTAAGAATCACGTTCAGATTCGCCGCCACAAGAAGTGCACCTGGGTTCACCACGTGGACACTGTCTCTTCCCTCGCCTTGTCCCACGAAGGAAAGCTCTTGTACTCAGTTTCTTGGGACCGCACGATCAAGGTTTGGCGAACGAAAGACTTCGCGTGCTTGGAGTCCGTGAGCAATGCGCACGACGACGCCATAAACGCAGTGGCAGTTTCTTACGATGGGCACGTGTACACCGGATCCACCGACAAGAGAATCAGGGTTTGGAGAAAAAGGGAAGGGGAGAAGAAACACTCGCTGGTGGACACGTTGGAGAAACACAACTCAGGGATTAACGCTTTGGCTCTTAGCAGTGACGGGTGCGTGTTGTATTCTGGTGCATGTGATAGGTCAATACTGGTTTCGGAGAAGGGAGAGAATGGTAACTTGGTGGTGGTTGGTGCTTTGAGAGGGCACACCAAGTCCATTTTGTGCTTGGCTGTGGTTTCGGATTTGGTGTGTAGTGGTTCAGAGGATAAAACGGTTCGTATTTGGAGAGGGATTCAGAAGGAGTATTCATGTTTAGCCGTTTTGGAAGGCCATAGGAGTCCCATTAAGAGCCTAACTGCAACGGTTGATCCTACTGATCACCCTTCCCAACCCTCTTTTCTTGTCTACAGTGGCAGTTTGGACAGTGATGTCAAGGCTTGGCAGGTTTTTGTTCCTCTTCTTTCAACCTAAGTTTCCCTCTTTTACCATATACTCATTTTTTACAGGTAACTATGAGACAGAAAGTGTAACTATAATTACTTGAGTAATCTGATATATAGAGTAACAAAAAAAAGTGTTCTATGTGTAAGTTGCTGCATAAAATTTGTATTGAGCATTTCTTTCAATTCCTTCTACTTTCTTATGTGATTAATCTTGAACTTTTAGCAGATTTTATTTTTCATGGAGATATTTACTGAAAGAAAGATACAAATTTTAATATGGTTTGTATTTCTTTGTTGTGAATGGATTGTTTCTGCGAGGGTTAACATGTAATTTTGTGCAACTCCTTCTTTTAAGAAAGAGAAGTGATATTAAGATAATGGAAAATGGGGCGCCTACAATTCTTTCGAATCAAACATCTACAACAGCAACTCTCATTTTAATAATAGCATATTTAGATTTTTATATTTATTATTGTATTATTAAATAGAAATTGCAAAATAGGTGTACGTAATAAAAAATGAGTTATGAATATATGGGTACTGTACTGTGAGATATTTTAAGGGGTGATAGTAAGTTGTTGGACTCCATGGCGCAGGGTGGGAGAAAGGAACCAGTGGACCATTTTTCCTTTAATTAAGAAAAAAAAACTTTCAAATTTAAGAAAGAAATGATAAAATATCTCTTTTTCATCTTCTTGATTCAAGCATAATGTACGAACTAACCCCACCAAAGGTTCCTCTGAGAGGGGAAAGAAAAACCTGAACTAATCATTGTTTACACCATAATAAAATGCTTACTATAAATTATTACACGTGATAATTTTGAATTTGACTTTTAACACTGTTAACTCTGGTATGCTTAATAGATTGAAATCCAAGTTTTTCAGAAGTTTTTGGGCGTATATAACTCGCGCGATCTGCGAGTTTATTTTAATTATATATTTTTATGCTGTAGATATTATAATAATTATCATAATGAAAAGCAATAAGGGTAAAGTAATGAGGAAATATGTAAATATATATATAGATATATAAACGAATCAGGAACAATTACTAAAGCATTAAAAATAAAATTGGAAGAGAATAGGTAAAAAGAAAAATACCACTGAAACGAATCCCCGTCAATATAATATACATTATTATTAAATATAAATATTAGTATAGAAATTATAAAAATAAATTATCTAATGAATAAAAGATTACTATTTAATAGTAAATTACTATTTCATTATTAAAAACAAAATTAAATAATATTAATTTCAGCCATTTCATAATATTATATTCTTGAGTATATTCTTTAATAATAAGTATTATTTTGTATTTCTATTAATAACAAATTCTTCAATATCATATTAAGAATAACTAGAACTTTTTAAAAGAAAATGTCATTCGTTTAATAAGGAATATAAAAAATTGAATGATTGAAGCTAAAACAATTACTTTCGTAATAACAAAAGGAAAAACAATCACCGAACAACTACTTTTGAAATAACAAAAAGAAAAACAAACATGGGACTAAAAGAGTGAGTCGGAATCAAAAAGAGAAACTCATTCAAAACTGTGTCTAACTATATATCTTATACTTTGATTCTTTTTAAAGTGATTAAAGTCATCTTGCATTATTAAAAATTAATGCTCATCCAATGTTTCTTATTCTACTTGGGACATTAAAGTCACATGCAAAGATGATTTAAACTAAAACATGTTGCAACTTCCTTAAAGATACCTTGGATGATGCTATCAATGAAAAACCATCTTTGAGTTCTTCCATCCTTAAAATTTACTCAAAGATTGCATAGTTGTTTCAATAATTTTATAATACATTGATTGTTTGAATGACACAATATTTAAAAAATAAGTTAAACAAAGGATTTAGGTAAATGGAACTTCGAGTTCTTAATAGAAACAAGTAAAAAACGTGAGTTAAATTATTCTCTAAAATTGATTTTCTTAATACTTTTTTTCTTTACTTATGTGTATCTAATTCCACCTCCATCAATTGAACATGGATGTAAGGAGTGCATTAACATTTGATCTTTTCATTATAAATTTTGTAAATGTTTTTAAAAGATATTCAATTTTAGTTTGATAAATTCTTGCAACTTTCACAACTCAAGTATCTTCTTAACAGAAGCAAAACTACATAAGAATTTTTGATAAATCGTTTTGAAAGTTTCATGACCAGGTTTTATTTTCCTCTTATAATTTTAAGTCATTTATTCTCTCCCTTTAATTTATTATTTGAAGAGATGAGTTTTTAGCTTCATCATGTAACTCATTATAAGTAATTATACATATTTCGAGTGTCGCTTATAATTTATAATGCATATAAATCTTACACATCGTGTATGTTTTTTTCTTGAAGAATTTTAAACATCTATGTTCTTCCTTGCATGCTTAACCTTTTTAGTATCTTCATATGTGACTTTAAAAACATCACCCCTCTTGTTTGCACTTGAATATATGAACATGATGAATTAATTCGTCAAGTATGAAATTTGAAGAAATGATATTCTTGACTGTAATATCATATTGTACATCTTTATTCTTATATGCACTCCAAGAAATAAAGGATATAAAATAAAGGATATAAAAATTTGAATATTATTAACAATTTTGATAAATGGAAAAAAATTATTTACCATTGTTATTCTTAATTAAATAATAGCAAATAAGATAGAAGAAACGTGTAAATTTTTTTCCTACATCTTTTATGTAATGTTTAAGTTTGAAAATATTATTAGTGTGATGTATTTAAATTTTAAATCAAATTAATATAGTATTGATGTTTTATTCTCTTGTTTCTCTCTCTCTCTCTCTCTCTCTCTCTCTCTCTCTCTATCTATATATATATATATATATATATATATATATATATATATATATATATATATATATATATATATATGTATAAATAATGGGCCATGTTCGCTTTGTGAGTTCTGCATCAATCATTTCCTTGGCATTGGAAAATAGAAATAGACAAAACCAGATTTCCAAATTGACGGAATAAATAAATAAATTATTAATTTACCTTATCTGAATAAAACATCAAATCAACCATCCATGCTGCAACTATGAAATCTTATTGTTTCCTGTATTCATGATAAATTTATTTCACAACATTTTAAAAATTTTGTGACTTCTCTCTATATTTAAAATAATTTATTCCTTGTTCTTTTCTATCAGTAAGAAAGCTATCATAATCTACTATAATTTACTTTACTATTAAAATTATTTATTTATTTATTTATCAAATTCAACTATCAATCCATTAATTTAACCACGCTTAGAAAAGTAAATGAATTACACATAAAACTACAAGCAATCATAAGTGAATCCTATTTCTAAGAGACTACATTATTTTATCGATAAGAATTAAATACTTATTTTGTAATCTATTAATTTAAAATAGTAAGTAATATTAATTTTTACATTATTAAAAAATAAATTATAAAGATTAAAAATAAAATTTCAACTGTTATTCTTAATGGAAGTGAATCTCCCTAATTTTATTAAATTATATATATATATATATATATATATATATCATACTAATTTAATATTATCTATTTATTTAATTATTAAAAAATATAAACTTGCATTTAAAATTTAGAGAACATATTCAATATTAATTATTTAAAACACTCATATAAATAAAAATATTATTTTAATATGAGTCTCACATGTATAATTATTTAAAGAGGTAAAAATTATTTATATAAACAATGTTTACTTGTTTTAAGTAATTATGACTGTAAAATTTATATTAAATAATATTTTTTAAAGCACTCGTTCAAATATTTTGACTAATAAGTAAAATCATTTGAAAATAATATTTTTAATAGCGAAATCAAATAGTAAAAATAAGAACAAATAATAGCGAAACCTAACATGACATCTGTTAATTACCTATTTATATTGTTATAGAAAATGAAATCTAACATGAGATTTATTAGTATTTAAATATTTCTTCAAATTCATGTTATAAGTATATAATTTAAAGAAGAAAATATATTACTTTTCCTTTATAATAATAATATGCTATCATACATTTAGTTAGCTGGTTAAGCTTTTATTGGCTTTGAATCCGAAATATTAATATGGATCAAGATTTCCTATAGATATTCAATCAATGATGATCCACAATTATAAAATTGTCTATTGTGAGTTCTTTCTCGAAGAATAAATTGCTTGAGGATTGGGATCTCAAAAAATGAGGAATAAATAATTGATTTGGTCCATTTCACTCATCACTTCTAAAGTGGATATAGAAGCTTGAACTTGTTAGCTAAAAAGTTTTGTGCATCATTATGGTGCATAAGGATTAGTCCCAGGATGAGTGGAGAGATCTTTCAAAGAAAAAAAAAAATTAAATAAAAAAAAAAAATATATATATATATATATATATATAATGTCAACCTGATAAGAGCAGGAGCTCAACCGAGAATCTTAATTATTTGTTTATTAGATTTTTTTTTTCTTTTATGAGATTTTCCCAATTAAATCCAGAAGAGGCTAAGGTAGTGTTAGGTAGCACCGTAGCAGTCATTTTTTCCAATTTTGGATTTCCAACCTGTGGGTCCCTTCCCTTCTGAACCTCTTATGTTACGTTGAAACATCGGACAAAATATACTGGAAGTAGGAGTTTTCGTGCAGGAGTACAAATCTATCCAAGACATCATCATAGTTACTTGTTTAGTAGACAAAAAAGTTTTAGCAATGGATGTGCATAGACCATTTGCCTCCTGATTCCAATCTTAAAGCAAAAAGAAATTCAAACGTTAACACTATAAGTTGCATAAACGATCAATTGCATTCACCTAAAATATAATACTCATGTAAGGTCATATTGAACAATTTATTATATTCTACTAATATAAAAGATTCTTATATATACACTCATTTAATCCCATTTATACACAATTACTTAAAATTCAATAATTCATTATATTTCATTAATTTTTTTATACTTTTTTTATTTATTACAGTTTTTTCTCACATACATTTCATTTTTTTTAAATTATACTTTAAGATAATTTAAAATATATTTAAAGATTTATTATGAATACTAATATAACTAAAATCTAAATAAAATATGTATTTTACATTTAAATATTTTAAAAGTTATAAATAATATGAAAATCAAACCAATAATGTATTGATTAATATGAAAAATAGTTAATTATGTGAATTTTAACTCAGCAATATATTAAATATGAAAGGAAAATTATAAGTTAATTTATTAAAAATATTAAATTATACAATATTTATCATAAAAAAAATATTAAATAATTAATTAAATAAATTATATATTTATAATTTGTAAAATATTTATCTTAGTTTAAAATGTTTTAAAATATACAAAAAAATATTATTTTTAAATATATGTTATTTAAATATAAACTAAATTATATTATTATTTCAAATAAATTCATGAGTATATTTTAAAATATAATTTAGAAAAAATATTTCTAATTTATTTATAAAAAATTAATTACACAGAGAGAAAAATAAAAAAAATAATAAATACAATGAGGTAAGAAAAATTTTACTAAGTTATCATATTTTGAGTGAATGTATGTAATAGATAAAGGATTTTTTATCAAATTGATGTAATTTAAAAAAATATATTATTATAATATAATATAGAAGTTAATTATTATTATTATAATTATTATATTATTTTTATTAATAATAAAATAATATTAATAATACAAAAAATATTATTAGAATAATACTATGTAATATAATTTTTTAAAATTCTACCAATTTGTAAAAAAACCAATAGAAAGACATTTTGCAATTTCCATGTCGTTGTCTATACAAAGGCAAAAAATATTGTACAAGCAAAGAATCACAGGAAGATAAATTCCGAACTTGGTAACAGCAGAAACTCTACAGGGCACTCTTGGTAGCAAATTTAAATGATTCCCATTGGTTAGGATTGCCTGATAAAAATAACAAAACACTGGCAACAGAATTAGGATCAACTTAGTTACAATGGCTCTTTAGCTGGTGTACCTGGATCACGGGGATATTTCAATGGGGTAGGACGATCCTTTGAACATATGGCAACAGTTCGCTGACCGTATGGACTTTGCGAGTCCACTGAACATGAAAAAATCAATGTAAAGTTGCTTCTACAAGCTAGTTCATGATCCAGGTACTAAACAATAAATTGAGATGAAATGCAAACATCTTCGTGATCCACCAGGTACGAAACAATAAATTTCAGAATTTTTCCTCTCCAATCTACTTGCTTAATTACATCTTCACCCGTCCTCTCAATTTTTTCACAACCAAACAAATGCTAAAGGAAGGAGAGGTTGATGCTCTAGTAGGTGAGATAATAATGCGTGGAATTAAAGGTTTTGGCATCTTGAGCAAAATAATTTTGTACTTATTCATATTATCAAGTTCTCTACGTCCTTATTCTTTATCATCAAGTTCTCAAACCAATTAAAATGATGACGAGAAGATGTTCTTTCTAATAGTAAAAAAAATAGACGGAATTCTTAAAGCTGTGTACCTGAGCAAACTTGCAATAGAGATGCACCCACCTTCTGGATGGCACTTTCAGCTTTCTTAATTTCATCCTATCCAAATTCATCATGTAGGAAATAGATGATTCACAACTTCAGAAGTAGGAATCCATTGGAAATTAATAGAAAACCCACACAATAATTCAGCTTGATTTGAAATGTACTTATTTGAAAAAATAATATAGATTCAATAAGATCTTTACATTATCAGCCAATCATGCACTGTCTAATTACTAAAAGAATTTGACCATCAAAACGACTATGCAGGAAGTCTAACTTGATTAATAATGTACGAACTGCCAAAACATTATTAAATGACAGGGTAAAACCTTTGTGCTGACAGTAAATCATATTTAAACTCAAATAATATAAGCACGATTGAGATATAATTTATCTATATAGTCAGTAACTTTGTTTATCAACTTCGAAGTGTATAAGTTGTTGCAATGAATGATTAAGTTGAATGAAAAACAAAATCAATAGCCAATAGTCAAAACAAATTATTTAAGGGGGTAAAAGTAGCCTCCACTTTCTATTTTGTCAATAATATATTCCAGCTGCAGGTAAACTACTTACATAAATTTGATAAAAAAAATTGAAATATTAATAATAACAAACTTTCAATGTAACTCCTAGACTATTAGCGCATATATATGCTCTAAGGGCATTACCAAATCAGCAAAACACCCTAAAAATGAACTCAAACTAGAGGATGCCTGGACAGAATACTTGTTTGACATGTGAACTCTTTCTATGTTTCACAGCACAAGGTACATAATTTCTCCTTCAATATTGGCATTCAATTCTAATCCCCTGAGCAGGAGTAATCTTTTCAGTTCATGGACATAATCATCACCAATGAAATACAAGTAATATTAAATAAAGCAATTAACCAGGCATGATTATATGATCGGCAAAATAAATTTTAAAAGCTGTTACATATACCTCAGGATCATGACCCTTGGCAGCTATAAACAACCCACCAACGCGAACCAAAGGAAGACAGTATTCAGCTGGAAAGGCAACGACAGCAAGCAAACACTAAAGTACTAACGAATTACAAAGTTTCGATGCAATGAACTAAATTAGGAAGTAATCAATTTACCTAATATTCTCATTTCTGCAACTGCCCTGGCCACTGCTACATCAAATTGCTCTCTGAAGCAAGGATTCTGTCCTAAATTCTGCCCTATGCACAGAACAAGACATATTTTCAGGCAGTAGAAGGTATATATATATATTAGAGATAGTTTTTTTTTTTTTTTTTTTTTTTAACGTTATTCCTCATTTTGCATATTACTCCTTTATGGAAGCGGGTGAGGTACTTAATCATATGATTAATAAATAAATGTGTTTCTGGGGCTTTTGCCCAGACCCTCAGCAAAAAAAGATGTCATACATCAAGGAAAACAATTCAAAATAGCAAAAAAAGATGGATTTAGAGTTAAACAAAAATAAGAAATATTCAGATGGAAAAAGTTATAAGAAGAACAAGAGTGTATGTTACCTCTGCTCTTCCTCTTACAATTTGAATGTTTGAGGACCCGACAACACCGACAACGTGCTCCAAGAAGACGCATCGCTTGTTCATAGACTCCATCAACGTTATATCCCACTCTATTCCATTGAATCACAATGAACTAAGTCGAGCAATAACACAATTCAGATTGCGAATACATCACATAAGAACTCACCTGGGCGAGCTATGGCCAAAACTACTCCGGGAAGGCCAGCGCCAGTTCCAACATCGACGAGACTCAGCTTATCGCATGAAGTGGCGCAGTGGGAGCGGTAACAGTCGCTCAACGGAGGCAAAATCGCAAGGGAGTCCTCCACGTGTCTTTCCATCACTTCATTCACCTCTCTAACAGCAGTGAGATTCATGCGCTGAAATTACAATTGCGATATGCAAGTGTTCAGGGAGATTGTGCGTTGTGTTGAATACGAGTGAAAGAAATTGAATACCTTGTTCCATTGAAGAAGAGTTTCAACGTAGAGATGAATCTGGTTTTTTTGGTGGGAGGTTAGCGTTCCGAAGTGGGAGAGAGTGGCTACGGATTTGTGCTGACCGAGTGTTGTTGTTAATTTGATTTTTCTTGTCGTAAGGTGTTTGAAGAAAGTCCACCGAGAAAACTGTAAGTTACTACACAGCAGCATCTCCACCCGCGCGCCTTTACGGCCGCACTTCACAACTTACGCTCTTAAGCTCCCTTGGGTTCAACATTGAAATCAAAGGCCCAAACCCAAATGAGTATCAATGGGGTCCACGACCATGACAAACAATTCGGCTGTTTCTTCCTGCACCACATTCTTTCTTCCGCCATCCCATATTAATTTAAAATATAATGTTATCCACAATGTAAAAAGGTTTTGAAAATATCATTCTCAACATTTTTTGAATTTTTTTTTCAGAAGTTTTTTTGAAAATGTTAGGGAATCAAATTTCCAGAAATATTATGGAAAACTTAGTCTGGAAAGTTTTTGGGAAGGTATACAGAAAATTTAAAAAAACTAATTTTGGAATACATCTTGAAAAAATACAATTTAAAAATGAGTTAGGATGATTAATCAAAAATATATTTTTAAAAAATATAATTCAGAAATGAGTTTTAAATTATTAAATCCTAGATATATTTTTAGAAAATAATTTGAAAATAAATTTTAGATTAACCTATTTGAAATTTATTTCTAAATTGTATTTTTAAAAAATATATTTTAGATTCAATAATTTGAAATATTATAAATATAGATTTAATTTTTTTTATTACAAAAAAATTTAGACGCACGACATGTTATATGATTCAAAACCTAAATCATTAAAATTTCTAATCTTAAAATACAAAAAAAAATTATTGAGGGACAAAAAGAAATCATTCTATTAAAGTTATAAAACTATTTTATTTAATAATAAGAATGTTTCAATCTTATATATTATAATATTATAATTATAATTAATTTTTAATTTTCACGATCGAGATATTGTAGATATTATTTATTTTGAAGTTTTAATCCATTGATATTTTATTCTAAATGAATAAATTGAGAGAGAAAATAAATATAAAGAAGTTGTTTCTTTTCATTTTGTTTGGTAAAGTGTTATTATAAAATTCCTCTTACTAATTCAACTCAATAAATAAATGTGTATCATTGTCATCTTCTTCAATCTAGTATCAGTATTGTTGGGTGACTCAGAATGTAGGTACAAAATCATGAGCTTCTTTCTTATAAGCAGCTATGCTAAAATTTGGATTTACTGTTGGATCACTTGACACTATCATACACTGATCAAAAAAAGAAAATATTTTTTTTATTTAAACAAATATTTTTAAACTGTTGTACAGTACTAAAAATTATATATATATATATATATATATATATATATATATATATATTTACAATGTACAAAAAAATAATAATTATACAATAATAAAAAAATTATATTTTCACCTTTTCCAACTTGTTTCCGCACCTTCTCTAACAACCTTTTTCTTTTAATGGTCCCTGGCATTCTTGATATCGCTGTCCCCATCTACACCTTCTCCATTATTTGTTGCTAAATATTTTAGTTAATCTTAATCTTTACTTTCAACATCACGTATTTAAACTGTGCATAGGTTTGTGCCAGTGCTAGTTAAATTTGTTTTCATAATGATGTTTAGGCTTGTGCATGTTCAATTATGATTCTAGGATATATGCTTCGAATTAATTACACGGGTTAGTATGATCCGTTTAATGTCTGTAATATGCATTGACCTACTTTATTTATTAAAAAAATGTTATGTTTAAATATATTTTTAAATTATGTAAAATGAATAATTTTTTTAATATTGTTGGTCTCTGAAATTGAAAACCATTACTTCGTATCCTTAATATGACATTGATTGATACGTGTTGAAAAAGAAAATGTTAATGGACCTATCCACTATTGTTTTCATATGATGTTACTAGACACATAAAAACAATTTATTAAGATCCGTGAAATAAATGATGTGTAATCTATCTTAAAGTAGTATTATGGATTCAAAATATTCCTTTAAAATTTTAGGAATAAAAAAACTTTTACAGAAACTGAAACCAAAATTTAAATATTTTATAAAGATTAAAATTTTTATAAATATGAAAAAAAATATAGGACCAAAATCAAAGTTAGTTAATTTTACAAAGACTAAAATATATTTAAACCAAAATATAATTATTTAAAAATATTTAAGCCACACAAATTTAAAGTACTATTTAAGTAACTAATTTGTGATATTAGGTCAGAAAACCATGAGATTACAAACAAAACACAAAGGGCTTTATCATTTCACCTCTAAGTTTGTGGGTCAATCCACTAATCCAGATACTAAACTTTAAGGCTAAGAAGACCAAGTTAAAAAGTGCAATCATTTAAACCAATTTAAAAAATTTAAGCTGATGAGGATTGCAAACTAAACCGCCTCAAACTTGTATGAGGGAGACACAAATATTGTTAGTCATGTTACTCTACTTTGTTGAATGATCTTCAACTTGAGTTTGGACTAGGTTGATTTCTTTATTCAGGTGTGAACCATCAATGATAGATCTACCTAAAAAGGTTTTGGGATAGTAGCTCCCACACAAAATTTATTTATTTTTAATATATAATATATATTTATAGCTATAAATTTTGTTCATAATTTAAAATAATAAAAGATAATGATTTACAATGTGAGTTTTATCTCCACTGATGTATAGTACATCCAGAACTTAAAACTTTTTGGATCTATCAATGTGGTGGCAACCTATTTACTTTGTGAATTTGGTCCCAATATAACATATCGGTGCAAATATGGTGAATGTGTCAGACAATAATAGGCTACTCCTCTTATGCTCCAGTTGAGTCACTCCTCTTATGCTTTGATGCTGTTTTCAAGTCCCTCCATGATTCCGTGTTTGAAATGTTTCAAAAAGTGTATCAGATAGCAGATCGAGAAAATCAAAATATGCAGGATTGTATGGTCAAAGAATCAAAGTGCATATTGGTGTATGTATCTTGGGGGGGTCATTTTATTTTCATCTTGAAAACTCAAAAAGCGAAAAGAGTTATCAGGAGCGTAGTTAAATAAAATTATATACTAAAGATCTAATAGGTGTTTGTATAAAGTGATTTTCACATATATAATTTCAAATGTATCAGTACCCCCTGCTAAAATATACTCTTTTATTCAATCGCATTTCGTTTCAGTTAAAATAATTTTTTAATTTATGCACCTTACTTTCTATGTCCAGTTGTAGAAAATGATCATAACCATATATATACAAGTCAGACAAGTTGAAAAAGGGGAACAGTAGAAAAATATCCATAAAATTATACAGTGTTCAATCTTCTGGGGTAAAACATTGGGTGGTTGCTTCTGCTGTGGCGGTCCAACTAATTAACCTCTGCATAAGAAATTAAGGAGAAAGGGAACATGGCACACTGTGCACTTTATATCTGTGGGCTTAGACTATGTTTTGTGCCAAAAAGATTTGAATCTCTGAAAAGAATTCTACTTTTATTCTCGAGTTTTACTTTTCCACCAAACTAATTTGGTTTGCCACATTTTCCTCCATTCATGAGAGGAGAAAGTGGAAGAAAAGGCTGGCTAATGCGTGACTTTATATGAGTCAAACATAAAGTCATAAGAGAAGGTTTAGACAGGTTATTTTCCAAAACTACTTTTGTCCTCTATATATGCTCAAAACAGCATCCAAACAAACACACAAGACTTCATAGAACCGCAAGGGCCTCTAGGATGATGATGATGATGGGTGAAGCAAATTCATGATCCACAGTGGGGTAGAAAAATAAAGAACTTGATTAATGAGATTCTAGAAGCGGAGCAAGGGACATAAATTAGCTTAATTGTTCTTACTTGGGTCCCAAAAAAGGAAATTAGATAGGATAGGTTTTGAGGTAAAACATAGGAGGAATTTGTTAGATAAAATAAAGTTAGCTAGAAAAGCAAGGGGTTGGGGGCGTGCGGCAAAAATGTTGAAAAAGCAAGAAAGGAAGGGGAATATAAAAACAAAAAGAATTATGTAAAAGATGTTTTACACACATATATATCAGACTGTTGAGTAGTGCGAGAATCAAGAAGTATCATCAGACCAGGTATATGGTACTGGACAAACATTCAAAATATGCTTATCTGGGAATCTTTTTCTCTATCTCTGTAAACAATGAATTATTGCTTTCAAGCTTCAGAATGCCGGGAACATTATTGCGTTATGTGTACAGTAACTAACATTTTTGTCCCCATAACTTGGCTTTTGCAACAGGACAACCATTACATTCAGAAGGCCACATATTCTATTTCTATCTTCTTCTTCTTACTATGTGTCTTCCTCCTCTTAACATTTTTTTACACTTATATTCTCTCAAACTCTGCCATCCTCAGTTCTTTCCATGACTTTGTCATTCTTTATTCCCATGGCTACTATATATGTCTCTCTGATCTGCCAAATTCCATCTTTAACTAAACCCTATAAAGCTCATCTCATAACCATTTCAATATATTCATCCACTTCACATACAGTCACAAACACCCTTTACTGTTTTTCAATTTAATAATTGCCCATCATATAAACAATCTCAAATCCTCAATTAGTTACATTAATTCCACTAATTCAGCTACCAGTCTACACAACCACAAATATATCCACGCCACACCACATGCAACAACAGTGGCAGAAGATAATTCTTCTATGGAAAATAAAAAAGTTATTAATATTAACATATGATTGCTTCCGCTATGTGTATAAGGGGGTGTTTATAATAAAAAAAAAATTGCAGTCTTGTAATATATTTCAAAAGATTAGTTTATATTTTTCAACCAGAAATATATAGCAAATAAAAAAACATGAAATGGGGTCATGTTTCCTTTTCCTCACGAACAAGAGCTGGAGGGCATAAAAAAGTTGGCACCACGGTTTTCGTGATAATTCTTTTTCTTTCTTTCTTTGTTGCCACAATAGAAAAAGGAGAGAGAATAGAGAGCTATCAAGTAGTCTCTTTCTCTTTCTCTGAGGGATGGCACGAACTACCTTGGATTTTTCTTCAACCTTTCAACGCCCTCACCCAACAGCAATCATCATGCCCTCACCCTCCTTCCCCTTCTCTCTGACCGTCCATAACCATCATCATTACCCCCTCAAGGCTCCCACCCCTTCCTTTATCAGAAACATCATCATCATCATCCACCAACCTTTTGCTCCTGATCA